AGTCAATGAAGTTGATGTAGAATGATGAATTCCATTCAATTGATTGTTCCACAATGATCCGTAGAGTTGCAATTTGGTCGGTACACGAGCGATCCCTACGGAATCCAGCCTGTTGTTCTCAAAGTTCGGCATCTACGGATTACTTCGTTCTGTTTAACAATAACCTGTTGAAGACTTTTCCCGTTATTGAGAGAAGACTGATGCCCCTGTAGTTTTCACAGTTGCTGAGGTCTCCTTTCTTCGGTATTTTGACCAGAAGTCCTAATTTCCAGTCTGTTGGGATTTGTTCCTCATCCCAAATCTTATTGAAGAGAATATGGAGTATCCTTGCAGTTACTGCTACATCTGCTTTCAGTGCCTCTGCTTAAATGTTGCCTAGTCCTACTGCTTTGCCACTCTTGATTTGTCTAATGGCCATACTGATTTCTTCAACATTGATTGGAAGGTCCGTGAGTGCTGCTTCTATATGGGGTGGGTTCAGTGTGGCTGGTCGGTTCAAGAGTTCTTTGAAATGTTCTACCCACCTGTTTCGTTGTTCTTCAATGTTGGTGATTACCTTGCCTTCCTTGCTTTTCACTGGCCGTTCTGGTTTACGGTGATTTCCAGAGAGTCTCTTTGTCGTGTCATACAGTTCTCTCTCATGTTTCTTCCTCTTGCAACCTTTTCCTCCGTCCTCGCTAAATCTTCCACATATTTATTTTGTCAGTTCTGATGCTCCTCTTCACTTGCTTGTTTAGTTCTATGTATTCAGCTTGTGCCCTGGCTTTCACTGCTCTTGTTCGGCTGGTATTGATTGCTGCCTTCTCGTTCCTTCTTTCTTGAACCTCATCCAGTGTATCAACAGTGATCCATTCCTTGTGATGGTGCTTCTTGTGACCCAGAACCTCATGACATGTTGATGTGATTGCCTCCTTGATCCCCTTCCAGTTGCTCTCCATAGTAGTTCTTTCTCCATTGAGTAGATCATGAAAGGCCTGGAACCTATTTTTGAGGACTATCTTGAATTTGTTGAGTTTGTCAGTATCCCGAAGAAAGGCCGTATTGAACTTTTGTGATATTGTCCGCCCCATCGTCCAGTGCTTCTTGAGTTTCAATTTCATCTTGGCGACCAGCAAGTGATGATCTGATGCTATATCAGCTCCTCTCTTGGTTCTCACATCCTCCTTTGTCCTTTTGAACTTCTTTGTTGATGTAGATATGGTCGATTTGGTTTTGCGTGGTGTGATCCGGTGAAGTCCATGTGATTTTGTGAATGCGTTTATGTGGGAATATAGTGCCGCCTATGAACAGTTTATTGAAGGCACATAGGTTTGCAAATCTCTTATCATTTTCGTTTCTTTCTCCCAGTCCATGTCGTCCCATGATGTCTTCATATCCGGTGTTGTTCATTCCAACCTTGGCATTTAAATCTCCCATAAGAATGGTTAGATCCTTTGTTGGGCACTTCTCGACGATTGACTGCAGCCTATTGTAGAATTGATCTTTAGCGTCTTCATTGTAGTCGTTGGTAGGCGCATAGCATTGGATGACGTTTATTGAAATGCCCTCTTTCTTTGTTTTGAAGGAGGTTTTGATGATCCTTGGTCCATGAGATTCCCATCTTATAAGTGCATTCTGTGCTTGTGTGGACAGCATCAATGCAACTCCTTGTGTGTGTGGAGCATTTTCTTCATCATGGCCAGAGTATAACAGAAGCCCTCCTGAAGCTAGTCGTTATTGTCCAACTTGCGTCCAATGTGTTTCACTGATCCCAAGCACCTCTAGGTTGTATCTCCTCATTTCTGCAGCAATTTGGAAGACTCTCCCGGTGTCCCACATTGTACGAGTATTCCATGTACCTAAATAAATGGTTGCTCTGGTTGTCAGAAGGGGCATCGGCCTCGTAACTTCTGAATGAATTCGGCTTTCATCATGAGGCATCATAGTTCTTCTAAATGAAGACCTTCTGACTCCCAGGACAGAGTTTAAAAGGTTTGAATAATTATTTCTGGTTAGCGTTTTTTTAGCGAGTTGGTTTTCTACGGAATGGGGTCGCTAATCCCATGCTCAATCCTTCTCCTTTATCGGGGTTTGGGACCGGCAGTAGCCTTCGGAGGGGCTCCAAACGGAGTTTACACCTTACCTAGAGCAGCGCATATGAAGCTATTTCACGTCTTATGGAAGATACTAGTACACTTGAAGTTGTTTAGGGTTTGAATGCAATGTTCGCAAAAAGTCTTTCCAAGCATCCTTTTGAAAGGCAACCGAAAACCATGCGTCCTTCACCCCCATAGTAGAATGAGAGGCAACCAAGTGGTAACACACCGTATTAAAACTGACGGTTCGGGTCTTAACGCATTTAAGTCTTCTCTATTTATACTAATTATATTATTTGTTGCTCTGGTTGTTAGAAAGAACATCGGCCTCGTGACTTCTGACGAATATCGGCTTTCACCTTATGGTATTGTAATTCTTCCTTCAGCTCGGAGCGCAAAGTCTATACGGAATTATTTGTCTATTCTCATTAGCGACTTTTCTAGCAAGGTCATTTTCTACGGGACCCCACGCTCAACCTTCCTTATTTATCCGGGCTTAGTACCATTAGTAGCCTTAGTGAAGCAAAAGGCTCAAAGTCGCACGTTGTAATCCCTATTCAGTTTTCAGTAGTAAGGACAGGAGGTATATCGACCCATATAATTCCCTGTAATTTGTAACTCTGCGGAGATCCAATCTCGCTTTCAATGTATAACCAGAAGGTGAGAATAATATGTGTTTTGATAGAGGATTCAAGCTATTTAATGCTCGGTGCGAAAAGCAGAACCTCGAACGTAAGAGAATAGATCACGGTTTTTGATTTTTCTCTCAGATGAACAGTCCTAGACAGAAGGAAAAGATAAGGCTTTAATACCAAGATCATAGTTCAGTAAATATTAAATAGCCTTATAACCTGCGGTAAGATAATAAAATTAGCTAGAGTGTCGCAGTTTGTTTTCATAAGATAGTCTGCAGAGGCATTTTACCAATTAAGTCTCTCACCATTGAACTCATTCTAGCATATCCGCCCCATTCTTGAAACAAGGACTTACTGCTTAAATCCAATATTCCACATGCTACCTCACAAAATTCGGGTATAAAACCCTAGACATTTATTCGTCCAAATACTGAAATGACTAAGGAATAGCCCAAAAAACCCTGATTGTTTTGGCAGTTGCAGCTTGCAGTCACTCGTAGTTTTGAGGTCACTGCTTATTATGACTCCTTATTCTTTATAGTTTGTTACGTTAGATAACGCAGCTCCACATATTATGTAATGATATGAATCGTTGCAGTTATTTATCTGAACTACTATACTCTTGTTAGAGTTAACTTCTAATGACCAAAAATTCATCTAAAGATACCACAAGTATTTCGAGTTTGACTAACACCTATAATCTAAACGTGTCAACACAATGAAATCAGAAGTCAGAAGCCAAAAGGTTCGAAGATATATTTGGTAGGGCATCAATATATCGAGAAGCGACTGATTCAAACTGGTTAGAAGTTATAGGGGAAGTTGAGTACAGCGTACCCATTCATGATCTGGTGTGGATGCATGACTGAGCGTCTTCAAATACGTGAGTCCACTAAAACTAACGAGGTTAATAATTATGAAGACATACTGTACTGTCTATTTTGCGGATTTATTTACCGCTACACGCCCATGCAAACGGTGGATTTGTAGAATTATGGTCTATTACGATATTAGTGCTACTCTAATGACAGACCTGATCCCAAAATTGTAGATTTGTCATGATATAACTAATCTATAAGAGCTTACGTAGAAGTCACATCATTGTCTATACGGACTCATCGTATCGTAACAATCACCAAGACATGATGGAGAACAAGCTTAGGTTAATGATAGAACAATATATTTAATATGAGTAGAAGATTTTAAGTAACATTCAATAGAGACCACGCCTGTAAGGCCGAGCTATGCCATACAATCAACCCTCCTTAATTCACCTCATTCTTCCTGCCCTCTTCATCGTTGGGTTATTCTCCACGTTAAACGGCGTACATTTATTTCCCTGACTGTCTCGTATTCAGCTTTGATGGTTGTAAGGTTAGGACCACTACAAATTTAATTGATCCCGTAATATTATTCTACCTGACATACTGTGTATATGCCTCCAAATCTTTATGTCATCCGCAAAGAGCAGAACAGATGGATTTACTAGGGTTGATAAGTGAGTCGCATAAAGTAAAAAAGGAGAGGATCGAGAATCGCAGTTAGCGGAACCCTATATTTTACGAATTCTGACATCGATAGAGCCTAATTTACTTGTAGTCTTTATCTACTATCAGTGAGAATGTCATTTATCCTATCTACAAATTCGTAATGGGTATAAAAACTTTCCGTCTCCAATTTTAACCATATGAGAGACCTTATCAAATACCTTACTTATATCTATGAATATTACATCTAAAGGAATATTTCTGTCTTTCACTATAGCCCAATCAGTTGCAGTAAGCAGATTTGTCATGCATGATAGGCATTTACAGAAGCGCTGTTGTCCCCTAGACAAAAGATTATGCTCTTTCATAAAGTTTAAAATCGATAAATATATAATACTTTCCACTGTCTTGGCAATTACGATTGTTAGATCAATAAGACAATACTTACTAAGTCTCTGCTTCTCGCCTTATAAAGCGGACTGATTGTCATTTCCTTGTCAATAACTAGGGTATCCACTCGAATGAGTAGTAAAAGTTCCACTGATGAAATATTTCAAATAAACACTCGTCCCTTAATAAAAGCATATCACAATAATTAACACAAGTTGGCAGGCCTACCGTCCTTACAGTAGATCAAAATAGAAAAACAGAATATAATTATGTTAAGAGCTATCAAACTAGATTCAACCGTTAAATCCGGAACGAATAAATATCAAACGACGTGACGTTTGTCCTTCTAATTCAAAATAGCTATTCATAAAGTTTTAGTTAATATGCAACACTTCGCCACTCTCATATTTGACTGTGACCTAGGATTAATAGGCGCTTGGTACAAGTTCCTTTTGGTAAAGTGGTGTGTTGTTTTGATCTTAATTATCCTCACGTTTTGTCATACTTTCCTGCAATAATAATGCTTTTTGTTGATACTACTATTAGGATTGAAACTGTGGCTAGGTTTGTACTTCAAAGTGACAACCTAAGCAACGTTTCTTTAATGACTGGAAATACTGTGACCCACTTATGCTAGCTCATCAACGAAACTGTTGGACCCAGTAGGATTAAAAACTCGGTTCAACGCCCCTAAACGCGTCTAAAATGCAACACAAATTAACTTGTCGGTGGAAAATGGAACTGAATGGTGTAAACTGGAATTCTCAGAAAAAAGTGGGAAAATAGTTGTGATAGATTAATAGATTTCTTTTAATTTAAGCACTTAGACACTCAAACTTTTTCACAATGTTTTAGATGTTTCTAGTATCTTCACGTTTTAGGTGTAGTAGACTGGAAACCTTGAGTCCAAGTTTCCTGCTAGCTTGCGTTCATCACTGAGGCATGACTTATCTTAAGGAAATTGTTACTCTCTTTAGAATTTGATCGGTAGTTTGTTTGGCTCTATACATTTAACGAATGTAAAGTTGGCCACGATGTCAGTTTACCAGGCCAGCCATGACCAGAATATCTCAGTGGTTTTTAATAATGCTGAAAATGTTCCCTTACATCTCACTGCTTCTATCTTAAAGAACCATACTCGTTGGTGGTGTGTGTTTAAATAGTTTTTCATTGAACTGACTTTTCTAATCTATGACTACCGCAGCCTTCGCACCTTCAAGAATTATGATCAGAATAGCATATATATTCCCACTTTTTCTCTTTTTTACTTCCCGAAGTATATCCGGTTACAGAGTTAGTTTCTTATAGTAACTAATTTGTCTGCTAATTAACCTGTTTTGTTGCATACTAGACCTAACTTAAAAATTCCGACATTCAGTATGGGGGGACTATATGTAATTACCACTTGCTATGTTAGTTAATTATCCGGTTAAATGTGTACATCCATTCAAATGATCAAACATTTATGTTTTGCTGCTTAGGAAACTAAAACTTTTTTAATTAAAACATTCATCTGTCTTACTCAATGTCATTATACATTGTAGTCAGCGGACAGTACGAAGTACATAAAAGCGTAAGGAATCAGGTAATTGACATCAAAACGTAAAAAAATCATTTGTACTACATTCCTGTGTGATTTTCCAATTTGTTTGTAAACTACGACTCATTAATCCAAACACTGAACTTTCAGCTGATTTACTTTCAGGTTAGAACTTTGTTTTTATTGGTTTGAATGCATTAATACACAATAGATGTGAATAACAGTCTACTAATTATTGTAGATTATACACAGTTTGGTAGTACTTATCAGTTTTGTCTTTTTTATGTCAGTTGGTCGAAAAAAATGTGGCTTATAAGTATTTATTTATGTTTTTTCCTTACAGAAAATATCTCCGCAGGGCGTTTCATAATTTGTCATGTAACGTGACTTTTAATTATTCACATGTTATTTTTAATGGTTTCCGGTGTTTTCAGTGCTCTTTTTATATATTCATGTATTAAATTAATCCGCATAGAAGGATTCATTTGACAGTTTGACTATCAATTGTACACATTTCCCATGATGAGTTATCAGTTTTTAACAAAAAATTTTTGCATCTCTTCATTGTCCTTTATTTAAACAACTTTTCATATGAGCTTTTAGGACGATAATTATTTCAAATGCCTTAAATTTTTATTTGCAATACATCTTATATGAATAATAAATGTTATAAATGTCTGATAGCAACAACAACAATAACAGTTATAACGGCAAATATCCGCTTATTTCGTCTCCAACTATTTCCACTTCAGTCGGTTTAGGAAGTACTACTCAACAACATACATATTCTAATGTAATTAATAATGATCTAAACAACTGTACTGATAAGTCTAATTCCACTGTCATCTCATCTAGCACTAATGATATTGGTAGACTTTTATCATGTATAACTTCAAATGGAAATTGTTTCCTACATATACTTCTACTCATCCTACAATTCAAACACAATTTTCTAATGATGTAGAAAGTGAGATTTCTACTCATCACCAGCAGCAAAAACAAGAATCACCCGGTGGAAATAATTCATCTACAAATTTATGTGGTTTTAGAATTAAATGTGAAGCTGATAGTGGTTTTTCACCGATTGGGAATTTGTCTGGACAATCTGCGCCAATCTCTAAGTCATCGTACGAGATGATGTGTAACAGTAAATCGACCGCCACTAACTCTACGTTGGAATCTTTCTCAGGGAAAACTGAATCATTTGAGGAACATGAAATAGTTGATGATCAATTTATTGAAAATCGGAAACTTGTCGAAACATGTGGATCTTTACGAGCACATCCACAAAGCAATAAGACTAATAGTAATAATGATACAAATGAATCTATTTCATCTCAATCAACAAGATATATATCATGTTCATCAGTGGATCAACTTACACTACCTCAGACTAATTTAAGTAATCATTTTCATTCAGATAATATTCTTAATTCAGGATGTAATAACCGTATATTGAACAATTCTCCAGTTCGTATTGTATCTCAGGGTCGACTAGATAATGATAACGCAAGTGTTAACTCTTCATCAGACTTTACAGCTGATGCGCTTACTTTCATTGATACATCATCAACATGTATAAATACATTTGATACAAATGAACGTATGCTTACAGGAACACCTGATTTTTCTTGTTTTTTTCCTAATACATTATGTGATCCGCTGACTAAACGTTTTACTTCTAATGGCCATACACCATGCGCCGGTTTTCCTGTAACTAATCAGGCCGATTCAAAGGTTCTAATAGGTCTCAGTCCTCTATCGAAATCGCATCGTTTATGTTATCCATATGATGCATATGAACCACTGAAAAGTGATTTCAAAGAACACTCAAATATAAATAACAATAATACTGTTGATAGAGCTCAACCGAATTCTTCACCGAATAGACTTAAAAATATACTAAACAATACATTATATGATCGTACTGGTAGTAACAATGGATCTAATTCAGTTACAACGCCTATAACTTGTAATAATGATGAAGCGGTGAACTTGATTACTGACTCTGGTCAAAAGAGTCTTGTAAATTGTAACGAAGTTCAATTACCAGGATTCAGTAGTCCTGAATCAGCTTTCTATCAATATCAAAATAAAATGGAGGGGCAAAGATGTCAAGTGTGTGGTGAGTTGGCAGCCGGTTTCCATCATGGAGCATATGTATGTGAAGCTTGCAAAGTAAGTCCGTATTCATTGTAATTGATATTTCTTCGATGTTATTCGTAATTTAGTGTCAGTTAAGGAAATCATTTTTAAAAGAGCAATATATTTTATCTATGGATTAATTGTACACACATTTACAATGTAATAGCTTATGGTCGATTATTAAGTATCTAAAGTATCAATGCCCAATTAATGGGGAAAGGTTCTATATATAACCCTTAAGAAGTTTCACTGAATAACTATCACATGTATCATAACAGATATTAGATTTTGAAAATTCTATATTATTACTCTATTTGTCTTTTCGCTATTGTCCTTTCATTTGTGTATTTTATTATTATCCTTCCTTTTAAATTTCTTTCTTGGTAGTGCTGTGTAATATTCCTTGTTTTTGTGTATCTCCCATAAATATACGAAACGCATGATGCCCTCCTACTATGTACTAAACCTTTCATGCTATAAACCAAATATTCTACTGTAGTTTATAGAAGACTGCATCCTAACAACTAAGAACAGGTTTGCTTGTGAACCTTTGGTGACTAGAACTATTACTTGGTTGTCTAAACAGAAGTAGTAGTAGGTGGTTCGAACCAGTGGTTCTGTTATTTAACCAAAACACCACTCAGACAGAATACGAATTCGTAAATAATAAAATATCTTTCTTATAAATGTCCGATATTTTCGTTATCTAACATCATTTATCTGGTTATCGAAGTTATTTGGAATGTTTTGTTTTATTTAAATTTTATGGTAACTAATATTTTTTAGTTCTCTGCATAACTTATATTCGGCAGTCCTTTCCATATAAACTGCAATCTTATTCAATAGAATTATGGCATTTTTCCAGTGAGTCGAGAGTACATTTTTACTTGTGTTAGCAGTGAAATGGTGTTTGGGCATCAGTGAAGACTATACATATTTACAAAGACTGATCAATTTAATCTTGACACCATCGACAGAAAAACGTTTCAAGTTATAGTAACACTTGATGACCGGCGTTTAAACCACTGGATTCTAGACTCCAGTTGTAATATAAACCATACGCACTAGGAATGGTGTGAGATCCATGTAATAAGAATTCACATCCCAATTTCCACTGGTACCTACTAACAAGTGCAGCTAAAAGAGAACTACATACTTGGCTGATAATATTTACAACTTTGTTTTGATTTCTTGTCAACACTAACCAGTTTATTGTCATAAATTCGAAGAAACTGCTGGGTAGAATACGGATTAAAAACGTTCTCTTTTTATTCACTTGTAATTTATATTGTGCAGTGGTAATATATAGTATTGGTCTATTTCTTAACCCCTACATATGTATATACATATAGATATATGCTGTTTAGGTTCACTTGTCTTCCAGGATAATGACCTATAAATTGTAATAGATCCAGTGCATTTCAGTTCGGCACGAAAACAAAAGATCGAAACAGTAGTATTATCAATGATAGCAAAATAAACTAAACATAGACAATATATTCTACGCGTTTTTGGTACGTGGTTGCCGGTAGAATTCACGTTTTGTCTCGTTTGGCGCTCATCAGCTAGATGTACCTACATCCCAGTATTGTTGCCCACAATGGAACTCAAACTTGGTGCCTTTCGCCTCATGCGCCTAACGCATTGTTCACAAAACCACTGAATCCCAGATAGGACGAAGCACATGTCCCGGATTCTACTACCAGCCCATACTAGATATCCCAAAGTATGTGGCAATTCTATGTTTAGCCAACCCGTTCAGAGTACATATACGGCAACAGAGACTGATCAATTGTATTTGTGAATATTGATAACGGGCAATCACAAACGCTTATTAGTAGACAATTGAGTTAAAAAGCAACTAATAAAATCAAGGTATAAAAGTATGAAACAATATTGAAACTCGTAAACTAGGGGTAGATGATAGATGAATCCACCCACAATAGGATTTAATCCGTTTCAGTTAAGATTTCCAACTGTATATTACGGTTATCGCTCAGACCTCTACGGAGAAACTTAAATTCCTGATACTAATCAATTCAACAGTCATTGATTTCATGGGTTGAATTTTCGATTTGAAAATTTCCACCCTTCACTTAGGCTAATCATACACTAGGCATCATTATACGTCAAAGTACAATATCCATAAGGATAATTAACATATATTCCAACCAATTTAGGTGACGACAATCTATAACTCCATCCGATTTACCACTTTCGCCTAATTGTCTACCCATACTGAAAGATATTATACTAAGCAGTTGTGAAAAGTGATTTAAACAGGTGGATAGATAGTTAAAGGTCAACTGTTCACGTAACCATGTAAGCCAATATTTGCTGTCACACACCATATAAAATATCTAACCTAAAAGATAAAATTTAAAATAACCTGTTCACCTGGTACTTGCATATAAGCCACACTAATTGTGAGGGCTATTGATACATCCAGATGTTAAAACTGAAGTAGTTATGTATGAAATACTAGTAGGATATTTGAAAGCTAGTTAACAACTGAGTATATCACACATCAATCCATCCTGTTTAAATGGTATACAATTGTGTACGGTACGAGTTTTTTTATTCAAATAATAATCTAGTTCTACTGTCTTAGTAAATAGAATTCTTTTCGATCATTGTTTTAAATCTGACACCCTAAAGCTCGAATAAATTATGACCGATTTTTGAGAATGTATAGAAATCTTCAGTGAATATACACTTTGTATCGTCATTAGATGGAACTAAAAGAAAATGTTTGAACTTTCTTCATCTTCTTCTCAATTACCAGAAGCAGTACAAATTAATGAGCTATTAAAAATGAAAATTTCTACTATAACTTTTTTTTTCCGTTATTGTGTTCATGTTTTGAGCTGCATAGCAGATTATACATCAATAAATTAATATAATCTATTCTTTTCACTGTAAATGATTTGATATTTGTTTAGATAGGTGATTTTCTTGATTCAATAATGAGCTATTCATTACTAGACAGTTTATGTTCGTAAATAGGATTCTTTTTTTTTTATTGACGTCATAACTGTCGAATTGTAGTACAATTTCTAATTGTTTACATTCATGTAAGTGTATAAAGCTACACTTATCTTAATACCTATATCATTTTGTTAAAAAATACTAGCTATTTTTGTTGTATTTGCTTCTTAGAAAAGTTTTTTCTTTATAAAGTAAGAATAATTGACTAATTTAAGTTATTCTTACATCATTAACAATTTATTGTATAACTGTAATTTATGAACGACCTTTGAGCAACGACATGCTAAAGTGAAAGACTTAATTTCGTTGGTTCGTCCGTAAATTGTAGTTCTGCCAATGTTTTTTTCCTAATTTTCGTATTTTCAACGTATCACTTTTTACATTTTCAGGTGAATATTCCAAATTGATAAGGATGTTTTTCATTGTTGTAACTATAACTTTTAATAGTAACTAAAGACTTCCCTTTCGAACGAATAAATTTCGTTTATTTGCAAAGCTCAGGTTTTTGTACATAACTTTGAGTCATATATTTGTGTGAAGGTTAATTGTACTTCCTGTCTGCATAAGTTAATCGGGGTAAAATATACGATTGATATCGGTTGGAAACTTTATGCCTAGACTATTAAGCCAATATTCTAACATCTTGAGTACTTTTCAATCCATTTCAATAGTAAACGGTTGGTGAATATACCCAAAATATTATTTCATGATGCACAATAGCATACAAATGTTAGTATGAATCTCACCAAAATGATTATTTAAAGTCTAATTTTCTGATGAAAAAGTTAATAGTTTTAGTCGCTCAATGTATTCATGTGGATCGTTATTAACAGTAATTACTCGATTTAATTATTACTGAATTTATATGAATTAGGGAATCAGACAATCTTCTCTCTCTGTATTTATTACGGTAAAATTTTACATTGTTTTTCTCTAGTACTGTCCCAATCATTTTATATTTCGTATTTACAGTTTGGGAATATCCCATTGTCTAATAAATGTACTATAGTTAAATTTGTGCATTACTCTTTATTAACCATCATCTTGATTTCCTGTATAATTTTTGTTAAATCTAAATGAAAGTTTCAACTTCATTCTGTACAGTGAGGAAATAATAACTATCGGTATCGAAACCGAAGTTCCAACTGTCATCTCGTCGAGCCAAAGATATGTATTGTCTATGCATTGATATCTGTTAATTACTTTTTCGAACTAGCAAACTCTAATATTGAACTAAGCTAATCATATATGTGATTCAAAGCCTGGTACATAAATTTAAGTACAACAGTTGCTTGTTATATTACCTGGCAGCACTAACAACAGCACATTACCTGGCAGTAGTTGAAATTCAAGTACCACTCATTGCCAGTCTATTTCTGTTAAATTCTTTTTCACTTCATATTCGTTTAAGTAACCTCTATGTATTTTTGATAAGTATCACCTCAGTGTATTACTGTCATGTTCAATAGTACGCAACATGTGCATCTCAGATATAAAAAAAACTGGAATATACAACAGGTTGTATTCTTTTTTATTCAATACCCATAAATTATGGACACCAAAAACTACCATGGGTCGCATAAATAAAAAAAATAACACTGTGAAGAAATAAAACAGAGGAGAAGTTGGTGAGATTGTTAATTTTACAAACGGAGTCGATTCTCAAATTCTAACCAAATCAATGTCAAAAGTTACCTTTTGAAATTCTCCTCATAATTTTATAACAAAAGAAGCAATCATATTAGTTTCATTTTCACAGGAAAAAACTTCATTAATAAAGGACCTGACTTCTATTTGTTAAGTTGATAACCCCAAACTTTTAGTATTCACAGGAAATTAACTACGTTATTTTGCTCTCTCCAAAAGTACTACTTTCGAAGAAGAAAAAGAAAAAGAAAAAAATATTCGTTTTATTCAACACTATACAGTTGATTTTAGAAAGTTCTCAGCACTAATACATAATACTACAATAAATTCTTGTTTCATACCTATCCAACTTGTTAAAATTCAAAAAAATATCTAACACAAATCTTCATCTACAAACATTTTTTGTCCAGGTTTGTTCCTATGATATACTTTTTCATTGCACAGTAATATTTAATTTATGAATTTGAGTCAAACCACCTCTTATTTCTCCAAAGACCATACGAGGAAAAAAACCGACCAACCATTGTAATGGTTTCGCTGGAATTCAGCAATAATTCTTTACATGATAGGTTGTAAACATTTTTTTAATAAAAGGGACTTATACACAATAGACGATTAACATTATACAACTACTTAATTATGTGACAAGTCAAACGCGCAGAATTTTTCTTCAGTCAGTCAATCAGCTACAACGTAGGACCAGGCGCATATATGCATCGGTCCAAGTTGCCATACCTCATTAACACAACAAGATGGACACCGGTCTATGATGACGTTTTTCTTAGAATTTTCAAAATTGAAATTTAAAAAAAAGTACTTGATTTATGATTTCTTTTAACCGGTAATCGCACAACTTTTATTTTATTTTATAAAATTAGTTCCCATTAACTATATAATCGAATGATTTTTTTTACATCTATCTAATCTCTTGCTTCTGTATCCATTCAACTGAAACAATGCTAGTGGCTTATTTTTGACACTTACCTGTGTTTATTCTATAACATTTATAATTCTTTGTATTCAATGGAAAAGCAGTATATATATATATATATGACATGTGAAATATGCAATAGTAACATGGGAAAAGAAAACAGATCTGTTAATTTATCACTCAGTTATCTAAACTTTGTGTCTGTGATACAAAGTAATGTTCCACTTACTAATATTGAACCATCCAGATAGATAAGCTAACATCCGCTTCATATGTGCAGCTAGTAGATCAGGGTATTTTTTGTGTTCAATCATCGTCTCTAAAAGATTACTCACATTCAGTGCCAAATCGTTCAAATAATGCCGAAATCAAATGATTTGTGTTTGGGCTCAGTGACGATGGTTCGATTGGCGTCATCATCTCGAAACCCGGATTCTGGTGGCTTAGATTTATTGTACTAATGTCAGTCCATCGTTTTCCACATTGCTCATTTTTGTTCAATGCTGGGACTTGGTAGGAAACTCAGAGAAGTGGTCAATTTTTAACATAACATTGTGGTATTAATGATATATACATAAGCTGATATTTGTAGTTCCATCACTACTTCTCGATTGGAGTCGTTGAGCTTTCCGTTCTCAGTGGCTTGAGACGTTTTTTAACATGATTGAGGCTAAAAGCATGGGGTATTATCCTTCGGTAGTTTTTTATCACAATCTTTATGAAGTGACTGAAATGAGTCTATGTTGGCTGTGCTTTTATTGAAACCGTATCTTTCAGAAAACATTATTATTCATTTATTTTTGGAGTGTATGACTTTCCAGTTGGATGGAGCTGTTGTTTAGTGGTTAAGAAATTCCCAAGTTCGAACGTCGCTCCACCTACTTCAGTTTAGGCAGTCGGGTATTATTACTACCCCTTATATGGAGTGTGACTCATATCCAGGTACTTGGTGAGTGAGTTGATTTGAATAATTTTTTAACAGTTCCTTCCTGTATTTGTTTCTTCAAAATTTAATCACATTATGTGACGTACTTTTTTATGCCTCATCTACTAAAGTTCACATGCCCTACTAATCAATCAACGCTCCTGTTTAATTGCCCTTTTAAAATCATTGTTGAGATGATTAATTTTTGTATCACTTTTAATATATGTACTTCTATTTTACTACCGTACCTTCTGATCAGACACATTGTGTGGCGTGTTAGTCGTTCGTTTACTGCTGTTATCCTTGAAATTCCAAATATATACCACGGTCTCTATTCATTCTTAAGTACGTACAATCGTTTCTGCCGTTCATGTAAAACTATCTAGTTTTGGAAGCTTATATTCGTTTGGGCTCTGTAATACTTGTGTCTTAGTTTGTCTCCTTTGGTTTTTGTATTCTTTCTGACTATTCATCCATGATTAAATTGTTGTTTAAATATGATCATTAATTTAAATATTTCATAACCATCCTAGAAATCTGTACCGTTCAGTCTCTTTACGGATTAATCCGAATTCACTTCGTTTTTGTGCGCCGTTTTGGTTTTTTTTTCGTATCATTTTTTCATTAAAAGTACTTATAACCTCCCACCACCTAGTGTGGAAGATTTTATCTCGTTTACTAATTACAACTTATTCAATAATTGCTGTTATTATCTCTACAAATTTATCTATATCGCTAATTGGTCTGAAATAATCTATTTATTTTGTGCTTATAGGTAAATAAAATGGCAAAGTAAAATACATACTCCAGGAAACTCATGTTACGTCTCACTACCTTTGAAAAACTCTTGTTTTCTGTTCAAGTTTAGCTTATCTTCATTATTAGACAAAATAATTAATGTCGAGTCATGTTTTTCTAGTGATCATTCTGCGAAAAACTCATATTTTTTATGATTTTATTTCTACGGACACAATCAAATAATTAATCAGTGCCTCAATTTCATTCTACTACTTATTTGTCTTAATTTAAGCAATTAAGTGTAATCATGATAGCCTTTCAGATTGGCATTAAACGGCGGTTTTATGCTTAACTTTTATAGTTTACATCATAAACTAACCTTAGTTCGATAACTGTTGGGCACCTGGGAGCATTATATAGCTGTTTCGTTCTGATACGGGCCTCCACAGGGAGTGCACATCCACAATCCCACCGGGATCTGACTCTAGGCATTCATATTGCGATGAGTGGTTAACTTTTAAACCACCGAATTAGAATCCAACGACTTACATCTATTACCCATTCGTAAGTAACTGAGTCACACTAGATATAGCCAAACTACACTGGTCATCAGTCCTCACTGAAACTCCGGGAATTACCTCTCGAAATTAGTTACCAGTAACTACGTGATTGTTCTTCGTATGAGGGATTTGTGATGGTTGTTAAGTTCCATAACTCACGTCACGAATTGTCCTTAGACAACCATTGGGTTATAATAGGTTCTAACAAGTAGTAAAACTGACATTTTTATGCATAAAATATATAATTCTAGGCCAAATCCACCAGGCTATGCACTCGGTTACTAATCTACAGTAGGAAATTGTATTGTATCGTCGGAGTAGGTAGTAGCAAAAGTAGAATTGGGTTCAATAAGTGAAACGCGTAGTTTAATCAGTCTAAGCAATTGAATAATAGTATTACTAGACCTCATGCTTGTGATTTTTAGCGAAGTACACTAATCTGTACCTAATAATTGAATTAATAAAAAATCTTCACTTGTAAGCTGGATATCTACAGTGGTAGCTGTTTTTTTATCTATTGTAAAAGTACACTAAAATTCATTAATGTTCTTTTCTGTTTGATTTTAAGCTGATAAATCATTAATTTTAATTTACTTTGAGTTATACTAGTGAATAGGGTTTTAATGTCTGTATAATTTTATCCAACCATACTTTTCTATTTTTAGTTTTTTTTTACATTTCTTATCACTATTTCCTGCTTGATTTTTTCTTAGTCTCTCTTCATTTAAAAATGCTCTGTTGTTGTCAACTTACCTTCCTATTTTTTTTATTATTTCTCCAAGGTTACATCACAGAACTATTCAGATTAATCAGTCACCTTCCACTTGATCTATGTCAATTGAAACATGACCGAATTTAAAAACTGCGCATATCATCAACCATATTTAAAAACATTTTCACCATATTTAATTTCACCAACGTACTTATCTCTTGTAAAAGTGTAACTTCCAGTTCTTTTATTCTCATTCTTCATTCAGCTTACCTTGTACTATATAACCACTTTGATTCTATGGAGGCTTTTCTCTTTACACCACTTCGTTATCAGTCTAATTTTTGATTAACATTACTTTCCCTAACTTCATGCTTAAGTCTAAAATGAGTATGCCAGTAGTTAGGTAGATATTTTCCACCAAAGTAAAAATTCTATCTCGTCCATCAGGTTATAAATATGAATATTCTGTTACCAAAATTGAAATGTTTCAAAATTATGACACTTGGTCATTGGTTGGTTGGTGGTTAAAACTAAAAACAATCTCTCAGTTTCAAATAGACATGTACTTCATCATCAGTAAACTTTTCTTGTGGTAATTCATTTTCTGTAGAAAGTCGTTATCATTATTTGCTTAACTTATCAATTAATTATAGCAATTCCGTAATCTTTTCTTTGCTTTACCTTTTTCTCTAATTCCGTAGAAATTTTTCATGCGTCATTCGATGGCTGATACAAAACCGACAAATGTCTGTCCAACTGGTGGCAACTGTATAGTGGCTAAAGGTAGTCGTGGGAAATGTCAAATTTGTCGTTACCGTAAATGTTTACTTGTTGGGATGAAAATGAAAGGTGGGTTCTCTATGTAGAGAGAGAGAAATAAATAGAAATTCTATAAATTAATGTCATTCTTTAAATTGTGCCAATCATAACTGCCTTTGTTCAAGCACATTCCGGACGTTTTTCTTCAAACTCTACTTAGTTATAAAGGTTGACTGAATCAGTCTGTCTTAATCAAATTAGTGCCTGGCATCAAGGATGTGTATGTTAGCCTAAGTCACCTCATCACATCAACTTGACGAAGTGAATAGTGAAGCTGACTAAATCATTGTAATTTATAGTTTATTTTACTAACTCAGTTGATTCAGTGAACGTGTCTGTGATGATAACACATCATATAATATGGTTCTTAACTAGTCACTGTGCCATAGACGCCCTCATTTGTTAGACACTGAGTTTAAATAATATTTTATGTTTTCATTTAAGTAATTTCTTTTTATTCGTACCTCATGTTCTCCATGTTTATTTATGTATTATTTCAATTCTTGTACTCATTCTCATGTTAGTATCGTTTTGCTGTGCTAATCTAATGTAGCAAATTGAACTGATGCACATTTATGATAGGTTCTACATTTATTACGATTCACTAATAGTCTTGCTAACCGTCACTATAAAATGTTAATTACCCAGCGTTTTATTAAAGCTCTGGCTTACTGACTAAGGCGTTCAACAATCAGCCGCTATTTATTTATTTTTTTGAAAACAAATATTGGTACAAGAGGGCACCAAATATATATGTGCTACACAAAGCAATGAGAATGGGAAGAGAAAAAAAAGAAGGTAAGGAACGTAAAAGAAAAAGGAAGAACAATAACGACCAGATTAGTGTAAGCTAGTGTAGTAATAATAATAATGGGGGAAACGGAAAGGTACAACCAGAAGACATCTTTCAGTTAAGGAAGATACAACCACTTTTTATGAAGAAAGTAAAAGAAGGTCACGGCAGGATCGCCACTGGCTTCTATTTTAAGCCATATCTGATAACTTCTCTAGCCACTGTGTCACACCATCTCTCGGACCCCGGCCAGGGAGTCGTGAAGGACCAACAGAAGCCAGCCCTTTTCAGCTTTCTTTCATACACTGACCACCTCTTCGATTTTTCCAACCAGTCCCAGAGTCGGCAAATAATGCACGACGTGGAATTCTCTGGGACGACATTCGTAGAACATGTCCAAGCCATCGAAGTCGGTGTTTCAAGATGGCGACACCAATTGAATTATCATCTCTGTGACCGAACACACGATACCGAACCTCTGCACTACTAACATGGTGTTGCCACTGGATGTGAGCAATTCTTCGGAGACAGCGATGATCGAACACAGAGAGTCGTCTAACGTCCTCAACTCGGAGAGACCAGGTTTCACAAGCATAGAGCAGAACTGCTCTCACCGACGCGTTGTAGATTCGACCTTTTACAGCCAGACTGACATCACGAAGGTGCCAAAGATGGCCCAAATTGGTATAATCCGCTCTGGCTTTCACTATACGTGCATTAATCTCATCACTCATGCCACGATCAGCACTTATGTAGCTACCTAAATACACGAACTTCTCGACTACTTCTATCTGTTCACCATCCAGGTTGAGTACAGGTTTAGGATCCTGCCAGTCTTGTAGAAGTACTTTGCACTTCGAAGGTGCAAAGCACAAAGCGTACCTACGTACATTGTTTGCCAACTGATTAAGTGCGGATTGCATGGCTTGGGCATTATCACACAGTGAGACAATATCATCCTCATACTCAAGGTCGAGAAGTCTTTCTCCAGGCAACAGATCCACACCGCCATTACTTACATCTATCAGGGTTGTTTCCAGGATGTCATCGATGGCAAAGTTGAAGAGGAATTGTGAGATTGAGCAACCCTGTCTAACCTCACTGCTCGAATGGAACAATGGATAGAGGTGGTTGTATGCCCTCACTCTGCCTGAGGTGTTTTTATATAGGGCTTTTAGGATGTTAATAAACTTCTCAGGCACACCCTTCTTCAATAGACAATCCCAGAGAACAGTCCTGTCCGACGAATCAGCCACTAGGTATCAGGTCCAAGTTTCATCGTAGCCGCTTCGGTTTAGGCGACCAGATAATAGTACACACAATATGACTGAAAGCGAACTACAATAATTTTGTACTTAGTAAGTGATTTGCATTAATTATTAGTAAGACTCAACATATTTTTAAAAAATGCTAACTGGTATGTTCATTATAAAAACAAAGCAAATATATAATGAGGTTTATTTATTTTCAAATTAATCAACTCCCTTAAATATTCACTTATCAGCGACAGGATTTAAAAAATAAATCTTTTTAAGTGCGTAGCTGAAAGTCAAATGGTTCTCGGATTTGTGACATTTAATTTGAATGATATCATCAACATGTTTATACAGTTAGTTAATAGTCAGGTTGAGCAAATGTCAAACCTAACAGTTGTGTAGAAATCTCTTTAGAGATTAGAAGTGCACATCATTAGATAGTTGTTTTTAGGAAAATTTTCTTCATAGTTGTTATCTGTTCATGGCGAAAATTATCATCAGATCATCACAGTTAGTTTAAATCTAATTTTGCCGCTCCTGGTTGCATTTCGAATAATTTCGGAATTCGATCAGCACTGGATACCGTAGACAACATAATATTGGTTACTCATTGTGATCCCCCTTTCTTTAGTTTGAATGATGCTTTGATGATTCTGGATCCGTGAGATTCCCATCCTACAAGCGCATTTCGTGCTGCTTTTGACAGCATTGGAGCAACTCCCTGAGTGTGTGGAACATTTTCCTATTCGTGGCCGGAGTATAGCAGCATCTCTCCCGTATTTAGCCCTTGTTGTCCAGCTTGGGTCCAATGGGTTTCGCTGATTCCCAGTACTGCCTAGTTGTATCTCCTCATTTCCGTAGCTATTTGATTGGTCTTCCCGGTCTTTCACATTGTCCTTACGTTCCATGTACCTATAAAAATTGTTTCTCTGGTTGTTAAAAGGGGCATCGGCCTCGTGGCTTTTGAAGGAATTCAGCTTTCACCATGAGGTGTCATAGTTCTTCTAAATGAAGACCTTCTAACTCCCAGGGCAGAGTTAAAATGGTTTGAATTATTTTTTCTGGTTAGCGTTTTTTAGCGAGTTAGTTTTCTACGGAATGGGGTCGCTAGCCCCATGCCCAACCCTCCTCTTTTACCCGGGCTTGCGACCGGCAGTAACTGTAGAAGAGCTACAAGCGGAGTTTTATTTTATAATACCCATAGGAAATTTGTTCTTATATGTATTTTTCTATGTAAAAAATTTTTTCTGTATTTTTCGTCTGCTTTGGGGTGTAGTAGAGGCTGTAATCTTGAACAGTTTATTTATAAAACTGCTCAACATTTACGTATTCAAATTTATAAATGATTCAAATCAATTGATGTTTCATTTTGTCTCTCTCACACACTACTTTAAGTTTCACCGAAATCACTCAGCGTCTTCCTTATTATCATTATTGTCCGATTCGTTTTACCTTGATTGATGAGTTAGTGTTGTGTTTTTTGTGCATATTAATAGTACTCATTATGATTGTTATTGTTTTCAAATCAATAATTGTTTTAGTCAGTGTGAATGCCAAATTCGACATTGATTTTTGAATATCTTAGGTTGGTAGTTACGGTTTGTTTGTGTACGTTTAGTTTGTATGTACATACACGTAAATGTGACGCATACACGTTATATATCTATCGATTGTTGTTCATGTAGTTTTCGCAACTAATTTTGTTCTTTCTGAGCAGATACTTATATACACATACAAACTGACTCATTCAGTTACTCTCAACTTCTTTCAGCTGTGTTACTGTTACCAGTCACTATACAATGGTGATAATCATTGTTCTGTATAGGATTACTCTACTTATACGGTCCTATGTCTTTCATTCGATCTAATTTGTTTTACTGAAATTCATTAGACACCTGGGTATTTTTAATTTATAAGGTATGTGTGTGAATTGTTAGATTCCAACTAGATAGTCTGAAGATAATACTCTCGCCTTGATGCATAAGTCTGCATAGATATGGGTTGTACACTCGGAATGATTCCTGCACTAAAACGAGATATTCGGCTATTTCTCCTTGATTTCTAGTAAATTGTTTAGCCAAAGTTGGGTACTGAAGATAAATACTTATGCTATGAACAATTTTGATCGTCTATCTACTTATTGGATTATTACATTGATATGAAATGAACGCAGGAATCGATGAACACAATGAGTTCTGTTTCTATACAAAGAACTACACAGTACATGAAGTTGATTATTATCAGACATATTAAAATATGGGGAGCTTTAGACAGCTGTTTCGTCTTGGTATAGAGTTCCTCCTGCGATGAAGAGCCAGTATTGTGGCATTCTTCCTAGGAGATGTACATATGATAATGTTCAATTTCAGTCTTGAATATCAACAACATGAAAATTCAAACCCTAACCCTTGAGAACTGTTATAATCAATCACACAGTTCGATCCTTTCCCGAATTCCTATCTATAACCACCTAATCGTTTATTGTTTACGATTAAACATTGTACTGGATTTTTTTCAACTCGTATATTTGATTACGATATGTGTGACAATTTAACACTTTAGAGTTGTCTACCGAGAATTGCTTTATTTCCATTCTTGTCTTACATCACATCAAGCCATCTTATTAGGCATAATCACATTTTTCTCTCTGTAAACTAATTGTAGTGTTTATTAATATTCCTATCTGCTCCATCCATAAGCTTTATTAGTTATTTATTTAATTGATTTATTACAGTTGTTAGGAAACGGGTACTAGGTAAGGATGGCAAATCAATTGATGAAGTAGTGAAACTTCATCAGTTGAGATGGCTTGGACACGTGTTACGTATGCCCAACGGCCGACTGCCTCGACGTGCTATGTTCAGTGGTATAGGAGTAGGTTGGAAGAAAGCTAGGGGCGGCCAAACCAAAACATGGCACAAGTCCATGAAGTCACTGACAAGTGGACTGAGTCATGTTGGTAGGTGTAGACTACCTGGTTGGGGACCGCGAGATGATAGCAACCGATGGTTAGAGACCCTGAATGACATGGCTCAAAATCGTTTGCAATGGCGCAGGTGCATCCACTCTCTGTGTTCTCCCAAATTCTAATCTTCTGAATCCTTCATGTCCCTTTTTTCCTCTTTCCAAATTTATTTCACTGGATTATACTCTTTAAATAACATCTCCAAACCCTAATCTTCCCGATTACTGCTTATACTCTTGCTACCTCTACCACTACGGGATTTGAATCGACAACTGCATCTCTGTGCTAATGTGGTGTGGCAACTCGAACTGATGTACATATGTACGGAAGTTCTACGTTGTTACTGACTGACTGACTGACTGATTTATTACAGTGTGTGTGTGTGTGCGTGGGTATAATAGGATTTTGTGATAGACATATAGATAGAAATTCTCCTCCACGGAAAAATTCAAGCCAAACAATAGTTAGTCATTATTGGATTTGGGGGAGACAGTCTATGTGTTATAATTACGATTGTTATCGTCATTTCTAATTCATTGTATCTCCTCTACTTCCGACACCATATTCATTCTGTTACGGAGTGTAGTTTTGTGTATCTTATGGACCCACATAGTTTTATCGTTAAAATGACTAAAGACAATTCTTAGTCGATAGCCGATGATGTACGATACAATATAACACGTTTTGATCTATTGGTAGCTGCTCACCGAACGGATACACTGGCATAATTATCGGACTAATTTGGTGTCATCAGATAACACAACTGGACAATAGTTTCTTTTTCTCTAGTAAAATAACATCGATGTATAAAAATAAACTAATGTTATTCAATAACATGATTGATTGGAGGATATGAGTTTTGCCGGTGGCTCAGTCACTAAATGTACCAGATTATCAGACGTAGTTCTTGTCTTTCATATCCCATGCAAATCTACATATTTCCCTCCTTGGATGTTCGTTTGACTTCATTTCAAACACGTGTTTATTCTTGCCCAACAAGCACTTTCTTCAGTTTTCTTCTGTCTTCTTATTTGCGACTTGGATGGTTCTAGCGTTCAAGTGCTCAAGTTATACGTGGTATATTAACAATCTAAGCTCTAGATATAACAACACGTCCTCCAGGTATTTTTTCTAAAAGCTTGTACGAATCGGATGAGTCAATAACGTCTTTAACTTGTGATACAAGATAATGCTGGTTCGAATCACATGGGAACTGTAGATACGTCCTGTCCGCGAATGATATTTAGTATGAAATCTAAGTCCAAAGGTTCGCAATGACATTATTATTATTGGCCTTATTCAGTATTATAGTTTTAGTACAATATAGAATTCTCAGCACAAAGTATTTCAACAAGTTTCCGTTTCTTACTTCTTGGTCGATCTTGACGATAAATATTGAGCGATCGCCTGTTAGAAGTTAGCAGTCCAGTCACTTGATATCTAAATAATCTACGTTCTTTTCGCTGCGTATTGCCGACAACCACGATATCTCTGATTGTGCCTTTTGTAACTTGTGCAACTAAAGGTTGTACACCTTTCAGAAACGCACCTGAATAGGTCTAACATCTCTAATAATATTTACACATATTTCTCATTGATACAACACCAATAAATAGTGTTAGAGTTTTTTCCATAAATTTACTAAAAGAGTCCCGATATTTAATAAATAAGTGGAAATTTTGTTTTATTTCCCGTAATTATCATCAACTTGTTGGTCGTTTTTTCACCTCAAAAATATTCTAGATCGGTATACTTAGGCTCATAAAAATAAAAGAAATAGAATTTTTTTCAGAATGGGTTTTGTGGAGAGTTTTTAGAAATTTCACAGGTTGAAATCATGAGTCAGTTGAAGCTAGACCACCATTGGAAACCTGGAAGCACTGGACGGCCGTTTCGTCCTGGTATGGGACTCCTCAGCAGTGCGCATCCACGATCCCGTACCACGCGGGGCTCGAACCCAGGAGCTATTGGCTTCGCGCGCGAGCACTTAACCACTAGACCACTGAGCCGGCATCCGACGGTGTTAATGTCTAACTTCAACCAATCCACGAAGTTGCGCCACCGTACACCATTGTCTTCAGTGAGTTATCTCACAACAGACCGGTTGAACTCCACTGGTAACGGCTTCTCACTAGAACTCCAGGCCGTCCAGTGCTTCCAGGTTTTCAATGGTGGTCTAGCTTCAACTGACTCATGATTTCAACCTGTGAAATTTCTAGAATTTTTTTCTCAAGAACAAAATAACTAATAGGGATTGCAATTGCAAGACAATGTTTGACTGTTTATTGTTTATATTTTATAGTAGTTTGATAGCTTTGATAATAAAATCCAGCTTTATCCACTTTTTTCTAAGTTCTGTGCACACACGCACGGTCAAGGCATAAAGCTTATCTGTATGAACTGCATCTTGTAGTGAAATACTATTGATAATCCAAAATGCAATTAAAATCTATGTTTGTTATAAAAAGTGAAACACTATTCTTATCTCGATATTTCTTTGGCACACGATTACTAATAATGCTGCTCATTTATTTATGTGTATGGCCGAATCCCCTCCCAAAAAATGCATATTCTGTGCATGTTTTCTCTCCATAGCTGTCTCATCTTTATCTCTGTCCATAATTGTCTTTATGTTTAAATGTTGATCATCTACGTTTTATGTTGAAAAAAATACTTGGCAATGTAACTGGAATGACATTATGTCCACCGTAAGACCTGACATTAGTAGGTGCTCGATCCTCTAAGTATTTCGTCACTCCTAAGGTTTTCAATAATTCTTTATCTGCTTCCATCCTGTAATAAAAAGCTCTTCGTACTGAACAAACAATAATAATAATCGCATACTCAGTTCTAACTGACTTCAAGACGAATTTATTGAAATTTCTTTAACGAAAAACTGTGATCTAAGCAATCGAAAAAGTCAACCGGTTGTCTTACTTCTAAACCCTTTTTGTACTTACCACTCTAATTTCATTTTAATTGACCTGTTTACTTATCATTGTGATTTCTATATTCTCTAACCTTAACTTAGTGAATCACAGTTAATTAGTTTAGTCTTTAAAATATCTGATCCTACGATGTTTATTTACATTAATCAGTTACATGTATACTCAACTATTTGCATTGATTTAACGGTTAATTGTTTATTATCAATTAGATAAGGACCAACCTGTCAATAGTTAGTTATAAATAATGTAGAGTTTGGGACAAGTCTGTATCTAACTCAATTTGTTGTCACAGAGTATTTTAACACAACCAAATGAATAATAAAACATGAAGGTATGTTCATGACGATATTTTCTAAAAAAAAACAGACCTTAATGTGAAGAAAACTGTTTAGAAGGACGAAACAAATGAATAAAAGTTACAGAACAAATACATTTACTCCATCGCATCACCAATTTCGCGCTGTACAACAACATCTTTTATTGAATTACATCTGCATAATATGTAACTGGTGTTTTACTCTTTTCAAAACGAAACTATACTTTTAATCACTCTTGACCCCCTTGTCTTTGTGTATCGTTTTTCATGAGTAAATATTTTTTGTTTAGTAAGTTTGACCGCTACATCTATTTTATTTTCTACTTACCACTACTAATACTACTGCAGATATTCTATGTTGAATACAAAAATGCTTTAGACATTGATGACAAATTCAGTATACCCTTATTTACTTTATATATATATATATATATATATATATATATATATATATATATATATTTGACGAGATCATTTTTCACTAAACATGTATCTGTCAGATATATACATATACTGAATTGTAGATACATATTGTTGTCGTGAAAATCAACACAATTATTAATTAGTCTGATTATATTAGTAGTATACATGTTTCTATTTATTTATTTGTTTACTTATTTGAATACATATACATGTATCTATGTTCTAGGCTTGTAATTCTGACCTGTTCACCAGTTATAACTTGAATATTAATTTCTTTTTTGTGTTTATCATACATTTACAGTTTTCATCTCAATAGCGTAGTAGTTGCTGCTATGTTTTCTCTTTGTCTTCCTCTTTAAATTACATCTGAGATAGAGTCAGTGTTCGTATGTAACCTACACTATTATTATTATAAGCGAAATAAATTAATCCGTGATAAACTCATTTAAGCTATTAAAATTTCAATTTTTAATGGTCGTAATAATATTTATTTCATCTACTATTCTATCATAACTAATTTAAGTAGTATCGCTAGTTCCTATATGTCAACAATGAATGGGATTCTATACGAAGTCTTCCAGTTACGGAATCTTAGTGAGATAAGTAGATAATTATAACACGTTTTTGTTCTTTCTATATATATACATCATGCTTATTAGTGTGAGTTAAATGTTTCGGAACCTAAATTATTGCACAGATAGTTTTGTAATCTCATTAACTAGATGGTTGAAAAATCACTAAGTAGTACAAATACAAATACTTAAAACAAACTTTATTTTACTAAAGGCACATTTGGTTCAACATAATTTCACAAAAAATAATTTATTTTGATTTGGATGAATCCTATTAACTATTTTTCTTTTGTTGAAAAATACTTACTATTATTCATTCATATATTTTAATGATATTCAGATCCAGAAACTCAATCAGAAATCGATATTTCTAATATTCCTTGTCGAGTGTGTGGCGGTAGATCGTCTGGATTTCATTTTGGTGCATTAACATGTGAAGGATGTAAAGTAAGCTTTCGTTTGTCCATTTATTTGTTTTTCATGAAGTTATTTATTTGTCATTTTTTATCTTATAGCTCGTTGCTTTCAGCTTAGTACTTAAATTAAAAGAATTCAATCAGTATTAAAAAGTGAACAAGTGACTATTCCTGAAGGAAATTAGACTCCATTCAGTTGTGTCCACAATCACGTTTTAACTGTAACACTGGATGGTACGGTCTCAAATTCCATAGGTAGCACCAGTTCCATGGAGATTTTTTAAAACTTCCCCATCATACCTCTTTACGGTTAACTGTACAACCTTTCCATCGGACCTTAGTTTTCTGCTTTTAGTCTTACCTGTTTTCCAATCTGCTTGTCTAACGTAGTAGAACCTGAAGGAGTAGTGTACACGATGTATGGAAACAGCATTCATTGTTCTATTCAATCTATAATCCATCGTAAAAACAATTTTTTTCATAATTAATCATATTCATTTATTAGCATAAATGAATTATTCAAACAATCGTATATTATCACACCTTACCAATATAATTCAAGGCTTTGTTTATAACTGTAAACAAAGTTATATTAAGGGGAACTTTTGCTTTTTTTGACTTATTCAACTAATCTTGATATATATGTTATCATAATCAGATGAATACTTTTCATTCATGGGATGAAGACATTTTTTTTCGTAATGTATTTGTTATTAATAATACCCATCAAAATATGAAACCCTGAACTTTGGTTTAGTATAATTAATTATTGTTTTATCCCATATCGCATATGCTGATCATTTCTGATCTGTACTATTATTATGTTGGTAGAATTAGATATATTTTCTACAGGAAATTACTTTTTTGTTTATTCAACCCAATTAACAAATCAAACCATATCTAGGGATGTGAATATTGAAGTCCTACTCACTGTCTTCTCGTGACGGGGGTGTTGTTTACGAAAATGACAGGACGAAAAGTGAGTGTCCGGCGCTCTAACCGGATCCCAAGCCAAATCAATGGTGTACATGGGCTCCAGTATCCTGCGGGAACTAATGGCGTATGAACCAATTTTTGATCACCGGCTACCATGGGACTTCATCTCCTTACGATGCTCCACTGCCTTGTGGGTTAGACCTTTAGGTCAAAGGCTCGGGGTGTGGCCCTCTACGAAAACCACCTGCTTCGATCTGGGCACCTGGACAGTATCACAGCCCACACACAAATAATGAACTGTCTATAATTATGGAAATTATGGAATATTGAAGTTGTTTTTTTTTTCTTTCTTGATCCACATGCTAACCTCATCATCATTGTCATCGTCCATTGTACTATATATATACATAGATGGAACTTCATTCTAATCATCTTGGCACCAATACACACTTATTGTAATTTGTGATTAATTTTCAGTTAAATTTTTTTTCTTTTTTAATTCTTCAGGATTTTCTTTTTTTGATATTTTTTTTGTTGTTGACCGTCAGAAAGAAAAAAGGAATTGATTTTAATTGATAAATTGATTTTTTTTTACACAATATTATTATGTTCCAAAAGTTGGGGCAATGTTTGTCATAGTAACTTATACACATGCACACATACACACACACACAAACATATACAAATAAGTGGAGAATAAACAACACAGTCATTAGTCTATTATATATTTTTCTTATTTCATTGACACAACATTTTTGTCTGAAGATGTAAATAAATTCATTGCAGAAAGAACGAGAGAGAGAGAGAGAAAGAAGGAGAAAAGAGACATTGACTACATTACACATTTATTTTTAATAGTAATAATATTTTACTTATTTCATCGGGATTGATCAATGATCTGAATGTCGAATTGATCACATGTTTATTTATTTAATTTATAAAAGTTAAAAAGATGGTTTATGTAAAATCATCTTTAAATCATACAAAGTTATTAAACAATTGATTGATCACTAAGTCGTGACGTGGTTCATATTTGTTTAGTCCTGTTTGGTTATGATTGAATTCTATGAATCGAATAATATGGTAATTAGTCTAAGTAACTCTATACTTTGGATCGGAGTTAGAAAAGGCTGTCTAATCTCCCTCTTTCTTTTTCTTCTGATGGTTGACTGGATTATGAAGATCTCGATATCTAGGGAAAAGCACGGAATGCAATGGACAGCTCAGAATCAATTAGACGATTTGGACTTCGCAGATGACATAGTCCTCCTATCTCATAAATACGAACAAATGCAGATGAAGACAACTAGTGTAGCAGCAACATCTGCATCAATAGGCCTCAACATACACGAAGAAAAAAGCAAGATCCTTAAGTACAACACATAGAACACCAACACAATCACACTTGGTGAAGAAACTGCGGAACAGGTGCAAACATTCACGTAATTGGCTGATCAGCAGCATCGGTGAATAAGGAGGATGGGACGTATATGTAAAGACGAGAATTGGCGAATCAAGGATAGTATTCCTACAACTGGGGAACATATGGGACTCAAAACAATTGTCAGCCAACACAAAAGTCAGAATCTTCAGTATGAACATCAAGACAGTCCTACTGTACGGAGCTAAAACGTGGAGAACTACTATAACCATCATCAGGAAGGCATAAGTATTTATAAACAGTTGTCTGCGGAATGTACTCAATATCCGTTTACCGAATATCATCAGCAATAGCCTACTGTGGGAGAAGACAAACCAGCTTCCAACTGGAGAGAAAATTAGGGAAAGACATTGGAAGTGGATAAGACAGAAATCACCAAACCGAATCACGATGCAAGCCGTAACTTGGAATCTTGAAAGGAAGCGTAAAAGAGGAAGACTAAAGAACACATTACGTCGGGGAATAGAAGCAGATATGAAAAGGATAAATAACAACTGGAAGGAGCTGAAAAGGATTGCCCAGGACAGGGTTGGATGGAGAATGCTGGTGAGTGGCCTATGCTTCTTCACAAGGAGTAACAGGCGCAAGGAAGTAGTTGTTGGTGGAAGTCGATAGGAAACCTTGAATACCTCCCTGATGAGTGCCAACTAACATCAAACCCTAAGTTCATGTTTACCTATTAAGTATTCACAACTACTTAATAAGTCAACAATTAAAAAATCAGAAAGACTATTGTATGGTAGAACAATGGTTGGTAGTCTGACACACGTAATGCTTCTGCTGCTAAAAATATTATCCAATAGTTATTTCTTAATCGATAAAAAAGTAAAAAGAGGGGTTGATTCTGCAATATTAGGTGTTTTATTCATTAGAATCCATTGTGAAGAGATTACTGTTTCTATATATGACAATGTATGAATGATGTCACTGTTACCTTCTCTATTTATAATTATCCTGTATCAAAAGTAAATACTGTTGAACATTTTCTTCAATTCGTCAATTTATCAAAAGATTTTCTCATGTCTAGTTTATATTTTGTCTTCGTTTATTCTAGGGTTTCTTTCGTCGTACGGAAGGATCATCTAATTCATTAGTTTGTGTAGGTGGTCAAAATGCTTGCACTATAACACCTCGAAGTAGAAATGCTTGTAAAAGTTGTCGTTTTCGTCGATGTTTAGCAGCAGGAATGTCTAAAAAAGGTAGGAGATCTTGTTGTTGAATTGATTCACTTTTATTTTCAGTATAGTTCATTGTATGTTCAGTTATGAAATATATTAATAAGTGGAAAAATATAGTTTGAGAGATTTTTATACTATATAATTAGATTCCTATCCTTTTTAGTCTTCATTTCACTAATTCAGTTGTCAGTTTTTTTTAAAGCTGTAGAGAATGAAAAATTAAACTTTTAACGCCTCATAGTTAAACGAATAAGCGATCTATTGGCGAACGTAAATTACTTACTAGACAGTTGTTCCATATCTTTTTGTATATGTAGACAACACTTCAGTTGTGTGCACTTATAACTCTACAATGTATTGAACTGAAACTGTCACTACTTATTTTGAGCATTATCACCCTAACCATCTGCAATTATAGATAAAGATTATCTCATGGATATCACCAAATAGAAAGTCATCTACATGTTAATAATGATAATAATCCTTTTATTCCATATGTTTGATCACATTGAAGAATTGTCAGCACAGATAATACAAAATTGATGTTTTATAAACATATTCAAATATTTTTTTATAAGATTCGCATCTTAAGGAGTAATTATCTATCATTCATTTTTATCCATGAACGTTTACGACCATCAGTTTTCCTCCTGTGACATTGATTTTTTAATCCTGGAATATATATGATGTATGAATTCTATGAACTTCTGTTACTCGATGATTGTATATCTTGAGTTCTAGATATGTTGCTAACATTTTATGAAAAGAGTTAGGTTAGATGCATGCTGTTAGCAGATGTAATTAGTTATTCAAAATAAATTTATATTGGGAATAAAATCACTTTTTAAAAAAATAGTGTTCCAGAAGTTTGAACATCACGTCATGGGTTCACACCCTGTTTTTATTGAACAAAATTAATACAGATTTAATCAATTTGCTTGTTTAATGGTGTTTTTTTGTTGGCAAGACAAATAGTAACTATATGCTTCAGTAGTTTCTAAAGCCTACGATTTCCGTGATTTATCACATGAACTAGGTACACATTATTCTCAATGTCATCTTATTCAAACAGTTATTTTTCAACTATAAGATTTATTTATTCGATTGTATAGATATGAATATGTTTTGTGATTGAAATCTTAATTTTGTTGTTTGTTTTCTCCGATAAATTAGTAAACAACAACCTTGAATCTCATCCACTTAAGCGTTTGTAAATATTTGTCTAGCCTCTTATAGTCTATACCTCATGTATTATATTCATCATTGAATTCTTCATAAATTCGACGATCAACCTTGACCCACTAAGATCATTTATATTTTGTATATTTTGTATATTGTCTTTGTTTGTACTTAAACATCTATACTAAGGAACATAAACAAATTCTGTACTCCCTATATTGTATGTTATGATATTTGAATTTTGTGTGTGCAGATGTGTGTTGTTTTGATTATCGATTATGCCTACCGAAATTGTTGTCTTTCGGTCTTTTTTTTCTGTGTGTTCTGTATATATTTTTCCTGTTTTACTTAGTAATGATAAACACTTGTACATCCCTCTCTTTTGATTGTACTATACACCTACATACAATGTAGATGAATGTGTTAGCCACTTTACTTATCTTGCAAGTCTCATAAGTTCGGAGGATTTGGTTGTCGACAAAATATCAGCACACTCTAAAAGTTCGTTTCGTTTGTACCAACTTTCACTATCTGTAGTGCGTGAAGGATATCTGTTTGTTTATCAAAGATGGAGCATCCAGGACAGCAGTTCACTTCACTTTATGTGTTTAAAATGCAACATTTGAAGGTATAATGTATTTGTATTATTTGATCATAGATACCTTTGAAGCATGACTTGTTGTGGAAACACTGAGTGAACAATGCTGAGGCTACAAGGTTAAAAAGGACCATTCAATTAATGGAACTATGAATTTTCATCGACTGTGGTATCTGAGAGGTATTTTCCATATCTCTAAACACTGTCTGCTTCAATTCATAATGCAGGCTGGAATAAAAATAAAGTTAAGGATGATTAAGCTAATATGTGTAGCACCAGTCCATAAAGTCATTGACCGTAAGTCTGAGTATGTTGTCAGGTATAAACTACTTAGTTGTAAATTTGTATTATAATCATGACCAGTAGTTGTATACTTTAGGTGACATGTTTCAAAATCAATCACAGTAGTTAGTTGTATTGGATCATCTCTCGGCTCAGCACTACTTTCTGTATTAAGGTCCTAGACATTTCACAAGGGAAGTGATGTCTAACCATATTAAGCATATCCTAATCGAAGCCAATAATGATCCTGTTATTCACTTCAAATAAACATCATCTCACCTGGCGATTAACATATCTTGGCGCCTCAGTAATACTAACCACATTTGTTGCATGAAAGTTAACGGTACTATCTATCTGCCCAAATCAAGGTAGGTAGAGTACGGTATTCTAACATGTGATTAGATAGAATGAAATCTGGAATAACATTAGTCCTTTTTATTCATATTTACTACTTGGTATTACTGTATCTGTCTTGCCCGCATACTTGTAATTAAATGATTGACATTTGTGAAATTATTCCATACTTCAATTACATTATTATAAATGTATAAACAAATAAATTATCGTTACATCTGGTACTATTTTTATTGAATATATATAATTCATTAAATTCTAGGTAGCCGAATTGGTCGTCAACCGAATGCAGTCAAATTTCATTGTGCCATTGAAATTAAACAACTACAGGCTATTCGTGGTAATTCATCTAGTTCAACAGGTGGATTATCACCGAGTCAAAGTTCCACAGGTTGTCCTCCATATAGTCAATATAACCTTAGTGGAGTTGGTGGAATTAGGAGTAGTAGTAGTGATGCATTAACTTCGTCCATAAATCATTATCGACATATAAGTCGAAGTGATAATGATAATAATGGTGATAAGATGAGTCCTAATTACAGTTCAACTGCAATAAATCCGATAAATTCTTCATTGAAACAAGACAATTTATTAATTTCCAGTGATTGTAAGCCAACACAACCACCCTTATCTTTATTATTCTTCTTACCGCCGAATTCTATGTCAAATCATCATCAATTAACAACATTAAATGATTCGAAGTGTGCACAATTATCATCTGCTTGTTATTCAAATAATCATGATAGTGTTGAACAGGATGATGTTGTTAATGATGATAATGACGGCGACGATGATGATATTGATGATGATGATGATGATGAAATGCAATCAATTAAATCTGATTACAATCTGGAATCTGATACATCTTCTCTATCGACTAATTTGAAATTGCAAATGTATAAACATATGCATATGGTTAGTTGTTAAATGACCCCTACTGTTGTATATGTATGTGGTAGTATTAGCAGTAGTAGGTTCATTAAATCTAAGAAAATAATCTATAATCGATGGGTGGTTCCATGTTTGCATCTGGCCAATTTAATGTTTCCTTAGTTTTATGATATGCGTACATTTTATTTAATTTTTTACATATCAAGCAACGAATTGATTACTTTTGAGCTAATTGAAAAATTTTCAACACTATTATGGGGCACATTTGAAGCTGTTGTCTTGTCTTAGTAAAGTGATTCAAAATAGGTTCGTTTTCATTCTCGTTTTGGACGAGGTTATCAGTGGTGCACTACATCAAATAAAAATGAACAACTTCGACTTTTTGTAATTTTACCAAATCAGTTCATCTAGATAACTCTGTGTAAATGATCTATTGTCTTCGCAAACATTTGCTTACTTTCATGTTTGCTTACGCTAACAGCTGAATATTGTGTTAAATTGGCACTTTTTATCGGCAACTGATAAACAGATTGGACCTATATGGACAGGATAATTTCCAGTTTTTGCCAATCTGCATTTCAATGATCTTCAGGTTGATTGCAGTCTCTGACGAGAACTATTTGTAGTAGTTAGTGAGACACAATAGTTATCATGCCAACCTGAATACCAATTGGTTGTGATCTCTTGACGTGACTTATATCATTACTTCATTACTTTAAGTCAACAGAATCGATGCAATACGACCAAATGCTTTTTCAAGTAGAATGGCTAACTTTTTATTCAACTTCTAGCCACAATTTATTGTTTTTTTTAAAAAACATAAATTGGTTATATCGAGCTATTCCACACAGAATACATGTATGCCAACAAAAATTGATTGAAATTCAGTTCGGAATATCAACAGCGGGATCATTCAAATTCTCGCTAGTAATGATGTAAACACCGTATCCAATTAACTAGTCAATGTTTGCATGGACTCAGTGGATAATTCGGTGTTTGAAGTTTAAAAAAATGGGTTCGAGTTCCTATGTGAGCGAGAATACTACTGACAAATCCCAAGTAGGACGAAGTGTGCTTACAAATTCCACTTTTAGCCACAATCTATCGATTTTAACAAACAATATGGTTTTATCTGTCTCGTGGTAAAACGTTGAATAAACAATAATTTGACCAAGTTTTATTTTAAACTAACAACAATAATAATAGTAAAACAGTATTCAGATTTCCATACCCACCTATTCAACTGGAAGGATAGTTAAAGTCATGATAAATTAAGAGATTACATATTATATCTTCGATACAACACCTGTCATTGCATATTTCAGTTTGAAATAGTACATGAATGAACCCGAAATTAGATCATTTAATGTTATAAATGAGCAAGTGTTTATGAAACTTGCAACTTCGTGAATATTTTACAGATTGTTGTTGTTATTTGCATTTTTACTATCTGATTATTAAATGGTTGGACTATTTTGGTTTTATATTCCCCCGTTTTGTAAATTTATATTGGACTTGCTAACCATTGTTATACTACTAATCAATTATTTATAACTTACCTTGTTCACTGGTAATTTTCGCTTGTTTATATATAAGCTCTGTTTTTTTTCTTTACCCTGTGATTTTTTCCTATATACTTGTATATAAGCGCATATATGCTTGAAATATAGTGCTAGAAGCTTGCCTAGTGTTTGTTCTCTTATTTGCAATTAAGACTGGCGAACGAAGATGTTTATATCGATAGGATAACCAGAGCTAAGATTATCCCACCCCAACTTAAAATTAACCTTGGCAGTAGAAGCCTATGAGATTGTTCAAGGTTTGCGGCTCTAGGTTATGAACAAAATATTATACACGGGATAGAGAAGTTATAACCGAGATTCTGATTGACGTCTCAATCATAACATTTGGTTTTAAAAGTTCTTGTTATATGCAATAATTAACATGGAAGAAAGGTTTCTGAAGATTGTTATTCTGAATTCACTGAAGCTCAAAATGCGAACCACTGAAGTTCCTGAGCTCATTCTCTCATAATATTATGAATACGCGCTGCTGATGAGTCTCACGCTAGAACGATACAGCTATCGAATGCTCTCTTATATTCAATGTTGTTCTAACCAATCAATCCTTAAAGTAAGCTACATGTAGAACAATTGCTTTTGTTTCTTTAAGAAATATATCAATCGAATAACATTCAGTCTTGTATAATATGGAATTTGGTATTTTCTATTATTACCTTTCAGCGATCGTCACCACTTAACGATTCTTCCCAATTGGTTCGTCATTATTCCAATGGATCATCTAGTGTATATGACGCTTTAGAACGACATGCTTTGGATCGTACCGGTGAATCTATCACATTTAATGATGATAGAAATGATTCACACCCCATATGTAGTAGTTCCAATAACGGTAATGAAGGTAGTATTGATCAAAACTCAGGTTACAAAACAGTCAAATCTATTCCGCTGCATCAATCACCTATTTCAGAATCATCATCGGCTACATTTTGTGCATCTCGTTTGCTTAATAATAAAAAGTTATTATCCTTTTATTCTCAGGAACATCAATTACAATCATTATCATCTCAATCCAGTATCAATTGTTCTCTGTCATCTACCTCTCCTACTCCTACTACTACTTCCTTGTGTTCTTCTCAACGTTCCTCTTCACCTTTTTCACTAATCTCTTCAAATTTGTCTCAGGTGCAAACATGTATATCCACTATACCGAATTCAGATAATGAACGTGTTAATAAAGTGAAATTATCTACCTCCAGCTTTTCAAACTCAACTATCAATACTACTGTATGTAATAGTACTACTACTACTCCTACACTGACAACCGTTAATACAAATATATCATCAAACACAACAGTGGCAAATAATACAACTGCCAATCGTCACAACTTCATAAGTTTCGATGATCCGTCATTTTGGGAAGACGTAGAAGATACTTTACCATCAATCAATGTAACTTCTGAAGCTGTTTCACAATTCACTGATGGCATGCGTACAGCTACTGAATTTCTACGATTACCAAATGCAGTAAGTTTTTTTTAAGTGAAGAATGCTATTCTATGGCAGTTACATACATTGTACATTATTGCACATATTCAGGCTATGATATAGTGGTTACAGCATTCAAATTCCAACCCGTAAGTTACAATTCTAAACGTGCTTATTTCACCTCAATTTGAACAAATGAACAGGGTCATCAGGCCTTATGCAAATGAAGTAGCTGAACGCTAATTACATAAATCTCTATATTCGGTAAATGACTTACATAACATAACATGTTTCTATTTGTTAATTTTGTTTCCTGAAGTGATAATTCATCCAAGAACCCAGTCACAAAATGTAAAATGAATGAATTCTAGAGATAGGAACCACTAACGCTACCTGCTTGATAGATAATATTAGGATATTAAAAGTTTCCCATGTATAAAACAGCCAGCCTATGGGATAAATAACTAATCACTATTTAAATGAAAGTCACAAATCAATCAATGATCCTTTACATCTGTCCGTTATACCACTCATGGTAACTGAACTTTGTGTAGAGTAAACCAATAATTTTAGAATATGCTCTATATACCGTTTAATCATTCGGTTCATAAATTCAACGACCACTTTATGGTAGCGTCACTAATAACATTTACAAAACAGGTGGGATCTCATAACTTTGTGAATAATGACCTTGTGTGTGTACGTTTTGAATTACCAATCAGAAGTGTACTTCTTTACTGATTGAATCGTTTCGACTTCTGACCGTCGAATTACAACATCAGACCCTGTTCTATCTGCGTATTCAGTTCCTACAACCATCTTTTATTTCCAGTTAAAACAGATGAAATATCTTCAGTACGAACTAGTGTCAAATGAGAAACCATTCCAATCTAGAAAACATTGGTTAACTGTTTCATTTTTGTTTGAGATCCATCGGGATTCACCAACACCTGATTTCATAGACGTAATAGGTATCAAGACCTTTTAATTTTTACAGTGAGGATTATACTTTTAGATCATCTAATGATGGAAAGTTTTGTGGTTTAAATCATAAACTGGCCTTAATTATACAACCATTTAAAACTGGGAAGCATTAGACAGTTGATTCGTCGTATTGATGAACCCCTCAATATTGCAAGTCCATGACCCCACCAGGGATCAGAAACAGGACATTCATGTCTCACGCTCAACCTTTAGACTCCTGAGTCAGGATCCGATGGGTTACATTTTAAACTTAAGTCAATTTACGATATTGTGAAGCCATCTTCCATTATCATTGTTAAGTCAGTTACACCTGACATAACTGAACTCCAAGAACCACCTCTCGAAATTAGTCACTATTACCTATTATTATTATTATTATTATTATTATTATTATTAATTATTAATTGCTAATTATTATTATTCATACGAAGAATTTGTGAAGATTGTTGAGTTCCATAATATACATCACGAACTGACCGTAGACATACAGTAGTGATCTAACCTGACGTATTTTTATACACAAACCTTTACTCGTACTATTCAACATTATTTATTTATTCAGACTAAATATTCTTACTTAAGTCTTTCCATAAAATTTGTTCTATTCACTTCAAATTTGAGCGGCCGAATAGTAGTGTCAACAACCAAGTACATAATAGCTGATCGTACGTGATAACTGTGTTACATTCATACAGTGAAACTAACTGATACAGTGACCTAAGATTATTGAATCTATGATTCATTATTAACAAAGCAGCTTTGTACATATCGACAGATATTTATTAGTTTCACATAAACTTTCTTTACGTTTGCATCATATACACACAATAACAGCTGAAAAATAATCGTATTGGATATTTTGTGTCTAGTTTTCAGACTTTTGACCTGATTTCTAAACTAGATGGTAATATACTTCGTCGTTGAGCTTATTCCTATTACAAGAATACTAGGATGTCATTTAAAATCACGGTGACCAACGCATTTTCCGCTGTAAACTTGTAACTTCATTCACTGTCTCAGTTATCATCAATGTAGGACTTGACACGAATGGATGTCGTTCCAACTTACCACACCTTAAAAAGAAAAATGATATTAAACTTAATTAAAATCATGAACCGATCCAAGTTAGACCACCATTAGAAACCAAGAAACAGCAGATGGCCTTTTCGTCCTAGTATAGGTTTCCTCGGCAGTGCGCATCTACGATTCCGCACTCAGGACTCCAACCCAGAACCATCTGTTTCGGGGGCGAACACTTAACCTCCAGACCACTCAGTTGGCACTCATCGGTGTTAATGTCCAACCCCAATTGATCCACGACGTTTTGTGACCATCTCCCATTGTTTCCCGTAGGAAACTACCTCACGCCAGATGTCGATTAGCTCCAACGGTCACAACTTCTCACTAGAACTCCATGCTTTCCTTCAAATGTGAAGGTCTTCATAATCCAGTCAACCACCAGAAGAAAGAGGATGGGGGAGAGTAGGCAACCTTGTTTGACTACGGTCCTCATTTAGAATGGGTCTGTCGGCTGTCCTCCATGCACGACTTTTTAGTGTAGTCCGTTGTATGAATTCCGTGTGATGTTGACGATCTTCTCAGCTATACCATAGTGTCGAAGAAGTTCGCATAAGGTTCTCCTATCCACACTGTCAAACGCCTTCTCATAGTCAAGGAAGTTGATGTACAGTGACGAGTTGCACTCAACTGACTGTTCGACGACAACCCGTAATGTCGCGATTTGGTTTGTGTACGACCGATCCTTAATGAATCCAGTCTGTTGGTCTCATAGCTGAGCATCTACTGAATCTCTCATCCAGTTAATCAACAATCTGTTGAAAACTTTTCGTGGTACTAATAGTAGTGTGATGTCTCTGTAGTTCCCACACTCACTCAGATTTCCTTTTCTTGGTATTTTGATGAGATATCGTTCTCTCCAGTCTGTGGACACCTGTTCTTCCTCCCAAATCTTCCTGAAGAGGACGTGGAGCGTGTTTGCAATTACTTCCATGTTTGATTTCAAAACTTCAGCTGGTGTTTAGTGTCTTGCTGATTTCTTCGATCGTTGGTGGAAGGTTTGTGTGTGCTCTTCCGATATCCGTTAGGTTCAATGGGGCTGGTCTGTTTGAGAGTTCTTCAAAGTTTTCAACCCACCTGTTCCATTGTTCTTGAATCTCGGTTATTTAAATAGTAATAGAAAATAAATGCAATTGTTAAAAGTTTTAGATGTGAGAGTGGTGATCACTTTTAGATTCCCCCACCTTGCAAGTTTAGTTTTTCTGAAGACATTTGAGGAAAAACTGGATTAAGAGTAGTTTCACGACTTGTGATCGTAACCGCAATGCTCACAAAACAACTCTTTGAAAGCTGGTCACATACAGACTATTTGTAAGTAGATTTAACTGTGTTAGCTACAACAAACCCAAGGTCCGAGGGCAAAGCCGTACTGCTGAATGTACAGAGGTGTGACGGCAGTAAGGTGTTTCCTTCAGACAATCAGCATAACAGCGATGCTGCCTTCCCACTAAGAAGGACAGGGTTATAAATGATCAACCCTAAAACTGCACACCTCGTCTCAACAAGTACGGAGCTAACACGGAAATTACTCACAAAAAGGTTGTGGGACCGGCCTCAAGCAATTGTCCCTTGGACACGCTCTCAGTTACTAAAAACACCTCTAACCCAATTTCGTTTTCACGTATCTCCAGAAGAACCCTTCCACTGTGTCAGCAACTGGAAAGTGATTACCACCATCATACCTCTCACAGCACTCAAGATCACTGTATTCATAATCAATTACCCTCTTTAATTCCTACTATTCCTCCTACCTCGAATTTCAACTCTAAACTTCCTCTTTAGACTTCCCCCTCAAGTGTCACCATAGTGAACGATCCTAGTGCGCAAAATACTGTCCTAGGTCTACTGAAACCTCTCCAAACGACTCATTAGAACCTTCAACGTTACACTTTATATTACTTTTTATCTATATCATGAACTGAAATTAAGTGGAGAACTAGCGAAAACCAAAAAATACAATATTGGATACATGTTTTCTTGCTAGATTGAAATTCCTAAGGAGTATATACCAGAGTAAGTAATAGTGAGGTTAGACGCAGGATATTAGAGGATGATGGTAAATCAGTTGATGAGGTTGTGAATCTTCATTAACTGAGATGGTTGTACCACGTGTTACGTATGCTTGCACACCGATTATCGCAACGTACAATACTGACTATTGTTGGGGATAATTGGAAGAAAGTTAGGGGTGGCCAAACCAAAATGTGGCATCAGTCCTTGAACTCACTAACTTCTAGCCTGAGCCATGTTGGTAGATGCAGACTACTTGGTTGAGGTGCACGTGACTATCGTAACCAATGGTTGGAGACTCTTGGTGACATGGCTCAGCATCCATCACAGAGGCGTAGGTGTATACACTCATTGCCTCCCCTCAAACTATGAGATTAAAACTGCTTTATACCTTTCTTTCTACGAACTAACTCTTTCTTCCTGTATTATATCCTTATACACAATCTTTCTTTTATACATTATTACCACTGAAGTGACTAGTTCTATGAATTTGGTGCTAATGAAATGTAGGGACGTGTATCAATGCATATATGTGCCTGTTTCTACGTTGTAGCTGACTGACTGATTGAGTAATAGTACTATCGTTAATATCATTGAAATTTTTTTCAATGTTTAATAAATTATAAACGGTTGATGTTTATGATTAGAATACATTTTTTATCCGTTCATTTCTTTTTTGTTTGTTTATATTTCTGTTTTCCTCTAAAAACATTCAAATTCAAGTACTTTAAAACACGTTTCCGTATGACATCGATACCACCGGAACATCAAGACAATATTAATCAAGTATGGGGTCATATGATGAATCATTTTCATATGCACGCTCAACAGGTTGTACAATTCGCTAAACTTGTACCCGGTAAGAGTTGGTAATACTCAATTAACATTTAAAGATGATATGTGTCCTGTTGTTTGCTTGCTTTTAATACACTTTTTCCGTTGTTCGTGATTTCTTTCTCACTAAAGAGAAGTAATTGAAAAATTGAATCCAATAGTAATGAATAGGTAATAATAATAATACTTTACTTTAGCAAACATCATTAACTAAATTAGTGTGACTTATTTTATCAAGTAAAGATTTGTGCCCGACTTTGCTGACATTGTTTGTATGCGGAATAAAGTTTCATTATTTAAACACATAAACATTAGTACAAGGAGACAGCAAATATATATGCGACACACTTCACCATTCGGTTTGTGTGAGGGCTGGAATGCTCTCCTGGCGACGTAGCCGAAGCAGGTGGTTTACTTAGGGTGCCACACCTCAAGCCTTCGACCCAGAAGTTTAATCCACAAGGCAGTGGAGCAACGTTAGTAGACGCAGTCTCATCGTACTCCATTTGTTCCTTCAAGATCCTGAAGCCTGTGTTTGCAACATCGATATGTAATCAGAGTTTTCCAACTCCCCTAGCTGGATCCTCCATATCCGCCCGGTTACCCTAAATGTGCATTCTACTGGTTAATAACCAAGTGGCTTAACCACTAAGCCACCACTCCTAGTCAGTATTGCAATGTCGGTATAACATAGAGACCAGTATAATTACGTCAGCGTGGGATCACATTCTTTTCTTTAGTTAAAATTGCATCCTGTTCTTCTGTATTGTTGTAAAAACGTAGAAAAAACCGAGACTGTGGGTATTCTATAAACTAAGTACTGTTCCTAGATGATGGGCTCAGTAATTGTAAAATGATTGTACTAGGTATGTGATGATTTTTAGACTTGGAAATTAAACCAACCGATCTTTTCTGGATTACTCATCATAAACGGTGGAGATGTTGGGTACGTCATACACCACAAAGGTTTTGTGGTGCTGATAGATGGCTTTCACCTATAACACCCAGCAATAATTGTACCCGATTTTATGGTTCATAGTTCCATTATCGCGCCAGACCGCTCGTTTCTTATTCCTTACGACTTGTCCACATATAGTATAGGTAGATGTGCAATATGGTCCTAGTTCAGTGTCAAGATACCGGTAGTGTTGTGTTGTTTGGCCTAGCTCGGGGAACAACACAAAAAGGATTCGTTTAAGCTGCAATCTTCTCTATCAATCCAAATAATTGAATACTTTGGTATCATATATATCCACCATATCCTAGGACTTAGGAGAGTAAGACACTTAACTAGTATTAATGATTGGTTGGTTGGTAGGATGAAAAGGTCAGGCATACGTGATCAATAAAAGTTTCTTGATAGAGTATACAATAACATACCTATTGTGTGAATGTAAATCTCTTATTGTTGTTTGTTTGTTAGTTGTTTATTTCATATTGATTCTAATTTCTACTACCCTGTCTGGATATTTGTCCAACAGATAGATTAAAGCAAACTTTAATCAATTAATCAATACATATACATGCAGATTGATACGAATACAACGACGAAATTACTCTCTGTTGTCTCATTTTCTCTGTTTTATGATGTGATGTGGTCTGTCTTCTCTTTGTTGATGCGGCACTGTTACTGCCTAGTTTTTAAAACTGTCCAGCTATAATAATAGTCATACATTAACCAGTGTTCATTTTTAGTTATTATCATTATATCAATCATATTGTGATTATTAGTTATGTCATGCATCAACTAACAACTTGATCATAAGTTATTATAAACAATGAAGTTAGGTAACCGTAATAAAGCTGAGATATTTCAACTGTTGTGGATAAATTTTAAGAAAAACTCATTGAAAATTCATTTATTTCGAAGTAGGGAGGGGAAACAGTTATACTATGTAATATTTTCGTTCGGTAAAACAATTCGCTTTTGCTCTTTAAAATCCTTTCTTTTTCTAAACATCATTTATCCTTGAAAATGTTATGCTTTATGTATATCTAGCACGGTGAATATAAAATTTGATGATGTAACTCATTTACTATTCATAAATTTGTATATTCAAACTTTATGTGTGACGGTTAGTGGTACTATCCTTCTGCTAAACTAAAAGTAGACGAAGTGACACTAGGATTTTCTATTTAGTAGCTGAACGTTGAACACCTCATAACTGCTCCTCGGAAAATCAGGATATTCACTGTAGTATCAATGATAAAGAATATGGTTTGAAAGGGAACACGTTAACTCATGGCATAAAAGGGAAGAAATAATATTCAAGGTGAAAACCTCGGCGAAGGCAATGAATAAATATGTATTTATTGATTTTGAGCACTATCAACACAACCACCACGGATAGAGATTATCTCGTTGATTTCATCAACTAGGAAGTCGTCTACATAGTGATAATAATAATAATCATTTTATTCCATATCATATTTTTGATGACATCAAAGAATTGTTGGTGCAAATTATACAGATTTGTGGGATTAAATGGGGGGGGGTAAGCACTGCTGTTAACAGATAAATTTAGTTACTAGAAATGTATATTTGAAAAATTTATGGGAATAAAATCACGTTTTTAAAAATAGTGTCCCAGAGGTTTGAGCAGGAGAACATTAGAATACGATCTTCTGATACCATTCACTTTGATAATCATTAACTCTATGAATGAATGGTTTATCTTCGTTTTATAACTTCCAGTGATTTTGTTACCGTCTATGTAAATCCTAGTTCCCAATGTGTATCACAATAAGTTGTTAACTTAATCACATATGGTACTGTTATTCAAAATCATTGACCTTCCTTCTATACTCAAATAACTTTTTGAGTTTTCATTGCTTATGAAGTGTTTATTTAATGAAGAGTACTGGCTAGATTAGTGCTTTCCTTTACACTAATCCTTTTTGTTGTTTTCAATATACTGATCTCTCAAGTACCAGTTTATTGAAATGGTCAATACTCATTCTTCTTTTGTTTTGTGTTTCATGCAATTAAACGGAATATATAGTTTACTGCATCACACACACATCAACGAACAAATCAAATTTTCTTACTAACTCATAGCACTATTCATTTTTCTTTGATCGTTAATTTTTAATTTACAAATGTAAATCAGTTGGAATCGTCTCATTGTATAATCATATGTGTAATATTGATGATTTACTGGAAGTGGTAAACTGTGTCAGCCAAAAGCATTCTAATAAAGATAGACTCACATACCTTCGCTTATAATTAAGTTATCATATATTCTTCAGTTTATTCAAATAAAGAAACGCTAACAACAATGACTATATCAGAGGGACTTAAGCTCACGATCATCAATTTAATTTGATATACTTCATATCCTGATTATCGAGAGTAAATCAATAATGTACAGAATTAAAATTCATGATGATATACCATTAACTTACCAGGGTTCTACTCTGACTATTGTTTAAGTAGGCTAAATTTTGCACTTGTTATTTGTTTTCTGTAAACTCAGTGTTTAGTTCCATCCAATTTCATCGCTAAAAATTTTTATTGACTGCCTTTTATCTCTTATTCTGTCCTTCTATGCACAGGTTTCAATCAGTTAGGCATAACAGCTAGAAGCAATCTAGTTCGCGAAGCTATGTACTCAGTCCTACTGCTGCTTCTTAGTCGTGATTATTGTCCAGAAACTGATGAATATAATTATTTTGATTTTCCAACAAAAGAACGTGAAGTGATCATGCGACATTTCCCGACATTTAAACGTATTACAGAGCATTTACGTGTTTCCGGACGAATAATGCACCACTTAAATTTGAGTTTACCGGAATTATCGTTATCATGTGCTGCAGAAATATTGCGAAGTAAACAATTCACTAAATTTTTTTACTCTCCACACAATAAATTTCTCTTTCACCTAGTTATCTTTTTATTCGAATATGAGATTTTTCTTCACTGTTCAAATTTTTATCATAGTATTATAAACCAATGGTCGTATAATCAATCATTCTTATCCTGAACAGCTAAATGTCTTAGATTGTAAAACTGGGTTGTGCGGGTTTAAATCTCGCACGGAGCACAAATTTTCTCAGGATTACAGATTAGACCTTATTGACGAGTGCTAGCTAATACAAAACCGAGGCCCAGGGTTTCTTGTCAACTACTTCCAACTATCTGACACAAAATGATAACTTTGATTATCAGTGGTTTATGGATTATTTGCATCGGCATATCATTTTAAAGAAAAGATAGACTTGTGCAAATGTGTTAAATCGTTAAGTAACATGCAAATTAGGATATATTTTATTATCATGTAATGGGAACCATTTTTTCACAAATTAATTAAAATAATAACCTGTTGCTTATTATGACAAAATAGCTCTGAGTTGTTATTATCGTTATTTTTTTCTTATACGAAATCAGTAATTTATTCTGTAGATAGTGTTTTTTGCAAAGAAGGTATGCTTCATTACGATTATAAGTCAAATGTTTATCGTCATTGAAAATCAATAAGCCAGTCGGTTCTGTTGTACTATTTGCCTAAAATATCTATGATTATTGACTTTTTTCTCAATTTCATGGGGTTGTTGATGAGTCCGAACCCATGGATCCTGCCTGAATTGATTTTTTTCAAAAGATCACAGTTATCCCTTTTGATAATTCGGAGACGTTTATACTTAAATCGTTTCTTTTTTAAAAGTAATTAAATAACACACTGAAATGAATTACTGTTTGTTCATCTATGTACCTCCTCCCAGTTTTCAAGCCACTTGGAATATTTATTAAATCCAATTTCTTCGAAGTGTTTTAATATAGATACGATAATTTTTTACTTTCATTTATAACAGAAAACAAGTTCTCACTTTGTACACTTCCTCTATTCCTTTCAACAGATTATTGTATACTTGAAGAGCCTACCGCAAAAAGTACAGCTGAATTATTTGTATTAGCACATCATAGTTTGTTAAATTGCATGGCAAGTAAGTAATTACGTAGGCGAAAGTATTTTTTGGCAATATTATATCCGTGTGTATATGCGTATATATTATTATTATTATTTTGATGCTGTTATTCGAGGCTGCAGTTCAGATATTTAAATTTTTATTAGAAAAAAAGCGATTGTAAAATCCACCCGTGAACTTGATTCGGATTAAAATTCTTTTCACTGGAACTTATTGTTTTCGATAAGCAGGTTTATATCTCTAGCTTAGTGTTTTAACCGCTGTGTGTCCCAGCTTAAATGCTCACCTCACGTAGTTCCGTTTGAACATGCGGCTAGCCCTCACCTACCTACTACAACAGATTTCGAGTTCTATATTGCATAGAATCTGTAATCTAGTCAATGTATCAACACAAAAGTTGTTTGTCAGGTGTCTCTATTTTTATTGGTAGACTTATTGGCCATTATGACAACGCAGTACAGTAGACTTTAGCGAATTCGTTGTATCGTAATGTTCATAAGTTGAATCCCAACAAGGATTATATAAATCTCAAACAGAATCTGTCTAGTAATGTTTATTTCCAGCCTAAAAACGTAAGACTCAACATTTCTTTGCCTAATAATTCAAACAGTCCGTCATAAATGAAATGGAAGATGCATCAATTAAATATACAACACTTTATCAGCAAACGAGTTGATTGTGCAATAGTAATGATAATAGCATGGTATTTGTCTTAGTGTATTGTTTAGTTCCATGTCAAGTCCAAATTGGTTACTCTAGCTTACAGGCAGACCAGTTTATTCATTCTTCTTCAGTCACAATTTGACCTTGTCAATTATTCGCTTATTGACCTTGTTTGTTTTTATATGAGCGTACATGTGTATTGCTTACCCTATTCGTCACACTGGGCTCATCACTTTAATACCCTGTTGGTCTGGCTCCAATTTCAAAGAACGAATGTATACAACAAATCTTCCATTTAACTCCATATGTTACCTAGGTTAACCCTATTTGTATGATGGCGGTAATAAAAAGCCAAATACGAGTTGCGTTGGATGAAATTATTTCAAGCACTCGTGTATCCAGACAGACATTTAGGATAAGAAGCGAAGAAAGCAAATGGGCCAACTCATTTTGATAAAGCGTGACTCAATATTTTAGCCATACAAAAATAAGCTGGAGACATGTGGTGACTAGGATAAGCGATAAACATATACGCTCATACAGAAACAGTCAAGATCAGTAGACGAATAATTGATAAGATCAAAGTGTGACTGAAGAAGAATGAATAAACTGGTCTGTCCGTAAGCTAGAATAACCCATTTGGACTTAACATGGTACTAGACATTATAGTAGTGGGATTTAAAATGAACATTATCATGAAATACAGAGTATAGGACAGTATTGGAACTCGGAATGCGACAAGAGCATGCGTGATAATTACATCTACTCTGGACCACCTGATCCGAATCCGTTTGACAGTCTCGGCATTGCCAATTTTTCAATCTTTCCTCATTAGGCAAAAGTAATAAATCATTAAATTTTATAAATATTGGAAAAAAAATTCAATCCCCTATTATTACTTCATGTTTTTTGATGTTGTTCTCTCGCTTTATGGCATTCCCTCTCTCTCTCTCTCTGCATGACACACAACCTTCATCTGTATATATGAATGGACTATATTTATCTGTATCTTCACTGCTATACCGTCACACTTTTCAGTTTATGCATCTAGTGATGGGTGCTTCTGTACATATGTAAGTGTGTGGATGGATGTTTGCGTATGTGTTTGTCGACGATACACATGGTAGGTAGATAGCCAGGCACCGCCGTGATTACAAAATAACATAAAGGAAAACGTCCTAAATCTTGGATATATTGTATTACGCTAAAAAAAAACAATACAATACGTGAACAAACTAAACTGTTATAAATTTTCCTAATTTTATTATTACCTCTACTGTTGTGTGCTGATTAAATTTGTTCGTTTATTTGTGTATGTATATGTAGTCGGTTGATTGGTTAACTGCCTGTCTGACCAGTTGTATAGTAAATCGCTTGGTTCATTTTATACAAAAAGTTCACTGTATATTTCTTCTGTATATAACTGGCATCTTTCTATCTCTCACAAATCAGCACACAAGTACAAACACCACACCTTTCTTCACAGTTTTATTCATCATTTACTTTTCTTGATGCCAGTGTGGTTTATTTAACAGCACACATTCGTTTTCATCACACATATGGTTAACATGATGAATCAATAAGTAACTGACTGTCACTACGACGTCGACCACTACTACTACTACTACTAGAATTACTAATATCAATTTAATATTTTATTATTGTTTCCATTGCTTTCTTAATAGATGGTTAAATATTTATGAAACACTATCAACTAGTTTAGAAAAGAAAATAAGTAGAATCTTTGCAATGAAACTTTAGTACATATATGTGTGTCTGTATGTATATTAGTCTATTGTGATTGTTTAAAATTATTATTTTACGTTTACTTCGGTGTGTTTTGGTCAGTGTTGCTAATGATGAGTTGGCACACATTATATGCTTGTTGATCTTTCTCATTAAGTGAAGTAATTTCAAGTGTTTTTATATTAGCAAGTTCACTTTCATTACAGTTTATTTGCTGGTAAAAGAATACATTGAAAATTAAAGTTATAATTCATGTAACTCACCTACTGAATACATATTTATGTACTCACTTTTAACTATTTTTCGCTCGAAACGTCTACCGATCTACTACTACTTGGCTGACTAAATCTATGATACATAAATCAAGTTTTGAACCGAATTCATTCATCGAAATGATGCATCATACTCATCTTGATATCAGAGTATTCTCATTTGAGTTCAGTATGTATCGGTGGATGTTATTCTTGTTAACAAATCTATCTAATACTTTTTTGTGTTTAAAGTTCTTCAACTATTATCAGTGTGTCATACGAACAGTCTTCTTAATTAGTGCTTAAAGTCAGTATTCAAATAGTTAATAAAATACTTTATTTTTAGTAATTATTTCTTTCACTAGTGATTAATATTTTGTTGTTTTGTATGAAATCACTGATTATTTATCTAAGCCGTGTAAGCGTAGTGAACGAGAACACAAATGGGGACAATCGAATGTATTTGAATACAAAAACTACAGAACATCTTAGTAAAATCTGAGAACCATACAGTAAATACTTCATTTGCAAAATATCAAACAATCATCCCAGACTTCATTGTTCGTTCGATTCCACACCAATCATTATTGGTTTTTGTTCTCCTTTCTTTGATCTTCTTAACCTTCTGGCTCTAGGCATTTCACTTTATGTTGCTGATACATACTACTTATATCTATCATCATCAGTAGCACACACCATATAAGATGTCAGCTTCATTGTTCGTATATTGATAGTGTTAGAAATTACTCTCTATTAATATTTAGTGATCTCTTTTAATAGATATCTAGTTATTCCCTGAAATCATATGCCTTTTTTATTCTTTAATGGCAGTCATTTTCAGAATTTAGAAATCATGTTTCGTTTTATTTGAGATTTATCAACTGTAAACATTTGCATTTCAGTGTTGGCATTTCCATTAAAACTCTAGCCTAGTATCATTGACTGTTATTGTGATCTTATAACCTAGTAACTGTCAGCAAGATATCAGTACTAATATATACTGTGTTTCACATTCAGTGAAATATTTCAAGAGTATGGTTTATGTACTTCATAGACCTATCAAGTGTCAAAAAGTATAGAACGGATTAATTAAATTCCACCCACTACCTTTTATCATTAATTTTGAATGTTTACAATAGCACCACTGTGTCACGATCGACTGATACTCAGTCATATATTCTAAACAATTATCGGTTGTTGATCAGTTTTGAATTATTTTGACTAAATTGTCAATGTCTCAAAGTGTTATTCGTGTTTTCTTTTCTTTTCTAAAACCATAAGATCTGACTGGTTAAATTACTTGTGTTTGTGTTTGTCCTTTGATCTATACTCATTCGTGCATATTGTGACTAATTTGATAGTCAAATGAAAAAAAAGCAAACTAATTGAAAACAGAGATATTTATATATGGTCTACAGTCATAGGATGCTGTTCTCATTCATCCCCACCATAACCTTGGTTATTGTAACTAAAAATGTAAAGTGTTTAAGAAAATACCAGTCTTAGAAACAAAACAGATTTCAATGCTCAGTTGCATAATATTCGATTGGTAGTGGCAACATTTCTGAAGAAATAATATACAACTCTTACGACATAGTTTATGAGTTTATAAGATAATTTACAAATGGTCCATATATATGTATCTAATCTCGAATAAATAAATAATTTTTCAACTATTATTCGCTTCCATTATTATGCAAGAAGTTTGATTGTATAGTTTCATTGGCAGAATGATTTTTTTACAATCGTGTTATACTGTAGCTCACTGTATAATTTTCACTTGTTCATTTGATTTTTTATGACCTCTGCAAAATGATGATGAATTAAAAACATTTTTCTGTACTATACTTTGAGTAATGGCTTAATAGTAGTTCAAACAGTCAACATTCAATCATCAGGATATTTATTTACACTTTACCCGAACTTGAATTCTGACAGTCAGATAGTATCGCTAGGTTTCACACTTGAAGTATGCATTCCAAAATCAGACAAACTACGTAGTACTAAGTTGTACTTGGCTCAGTCAGTTATTCAAACACAGATTAACTAGGATTTGGTACACTTTTTTGTTGGTCCAAATTGTCACTTTTAGAATAAGTACAATAAAAAAAGGAAATTAACAAGACGGGACACATAGGAGGTAGAATATAGAGAGTAAAGTTCACAAGAAACACTGTATTTAAGATCTAAAGAAAGACTGGACTCAACTGCTCCATCATGAACGATTTCAAACCGTGTCCATAGATTCCAACTGTTACATAGGCCTTAACCATGAGGTTTACACTTGTCTATACAGCTCAGAGGAACAGTCAGTGATTTTATGAATCACCTCTGTATCTTGGTTTCGAATATGCCTCCGTAATTATTATGTTTAAATTATCTTATTCTGTACAAATATTTATATCAAAATTATTTTTAATAAAGATATATTAATCCCAATGAGTAGTCCTTGCATAACATCTTGGCTGATTATTATTATTATTCTACTGTACCTTTTCCACTGCACATCTAGTATTTTCTTTTTATTTCATGGTTGTTGACTTTCTGTTTCATTTTCAAGAGCACTCTGTTCCGACTGTTGCATCAACACAACAAAGACGGACCCAGTTATTCGCTCTTAGGAAAATGATACGAGTAATGGACAAGGAACATCATGAAATTTTAGCAGATTTAAGGGTAATGTTTATTATAGTTTTTTTATTTATATGATTAGTATCGCTACTGTTATTGAATAGATCACAATTAATCATATAAATTAAGATTATATTATATTAATTGATATCCATGACGAACTGCCTCCTCTACTATCGCAACTGCAAAGCCATTGCAACCATCCTCGTGATGATAACGCCGATTAGTAGTAATAGACATCGGGTTATATAGCTCACAATGGCATATACTCACTCATCTTTTATTTTCCTCTAAAAATAGAGTCCCAGTATCCTTTTATACATAACTTCTCATCCTGTCTTTTTTTAACCATATTCTCAATGTTTATTCTTTCTCATTATCATTGTTACTACAATGATTTCGACTCGGTAACTTTTCACATTGTTAAATTCATTTCATAGCACTGTGGTATGGGAATTTGAGTCAATACATATCTGTCAGACTCTCTACGTTATGACTGAAAATACTACTGAGTCATCTTCCTTCATAAGCATAGAGCAGAACTGCTCTCACCGACGCGTTGTAAATCCGAAATTTTACAGCCAGACTGACATCACGAAGGTGCCAAAGATGGCCCAAATTGGTATAATCCGCTCTGGCTTTCACTATACGTGCATTAATCTCATCACTCATGCCACGATCAGCACTTATGTAGCTACCTAGATACACGAACTTCTCGACTACTTCTATCTGTTCACCATCCAGGGTGAGTACAGGATTAGGATCCTGCCAGTCTTGTAGAAATACTTTGCACTTCGAATGTGCAAAGCACAAAGCGTACCTACGTACATTGATTGCCAACTGATTAAGTGCGGATTGCATGGCTTGGGCATTATCACACAGTGAGACAATATCATCCTCATACTCAAGGTCGAGAAGTCTTTCTCCAGGCAACAGATCCACACCGCCATTACTTACATCTATCAGGGTTGTTTCCAGAATGTCATCGATGGCAAAGTTGAAGAGGAATTGTGAGATTGAGCAACCCTGTCTAACCTCACTGCTCGAATGGAACAATGGATAGAGGTGGTTGTATGCCCTCACTCTGCCTGAGGTGTTTTTATATAGGGCTTTTAGGATGTTAATAAACTTCTCAGGCACACCCTTCTTCAATAGACAATCCCAGAGAACAGTCCTGTCCAACGTATCGAAGGCAGCTGTGATGTCAAGAAACACTACGATTGTTGGCCTTTGATAATTATGACGGTGTTCTAACATTTGGCGGAGGGTGAACATTTGTTCAACACATCCTCGACCAGAACGAAACCCGGCCTGCTCCTCATGAGTCAGTCTTTCTCGGGTTTTGAACAACCTACGAGGTTGCAACCATCTTGCTGACATCAATCCTTTGGTGACGATCACTTCGTTGGCCACTGAAAAGTAAAGTTAGATTGGCGCAGACCAGGGCCTGATCAGAATTCAGACAGGTACTACAAAAGGAGCGGCAGTCTTGCGCACAACCATGCCAGCGGTAGCTGACTACGATGTGATCAATCTGAGTCCAGGCTTGAGATGCAGAGGGAGGACGCCAGGTGGCACATCGGCGATGACTGTGCCGAAAGTTAGTGCTAGCCAGAAACAGGTTGTAGTCTGTGCTTAGTTGCAGTAGACGGTCCCCGTTATCTGTCCTGAGATCAACAAGTTCCCGTCGGCCACTTAAACGATTCTCATCTGTGTCTAGACGTCCGACCTGAGCATTCAAGTACTAGAACTAGTACTAGAATATCTGTCGAACGCACTTTCTGGGGAAGAACACATAACTGGTGATAGAATTCATCCTTGATTGCATCTGGGCTGCAATCTTAAGACTTCCCAAAGACATAACCAGCCCTATACGTTGTCCGATCTGCATTAGTGTGCGAACGTTGAAGGCAGCCAGTTTGAATGGTGCACGTGACCAGTCAGTGACTCGAGATCGTTTAGATAGAACAAAGTTTCCACCAAGGGCGAGCTGCCGTATAAGTTGAAAAATAAGGATACACAAAGCGGGAATAAAAGAGAATGAATAAGTCACGTGGTAAATAATTATAATAATGTGAATTGTTTGACCGTTAATCGAAGCGTGAATAGAATTTTCAGTGAATATCGTCATTTTCATTTTATTTGTGTGTGGGCTGGGATACTGCCCAGGTACCCAGGCCGAAGCAGGTGGTTTTCGTAGGGGGCCACACTCCGAGCCTTTGACCTGAAGGTCTGACCCACAAGGCAGTGGAGCATCGTGAGGAGATGCAGTCTCGTGGTAGCCTGTGACAAACGATTGCTTCATACGCCATTTGTTCCCTCAGGATACTGGAGCCCATGTGCTCCATTGATTTGGTGTGGGTTTCTGTTAAAGCGCCGGACATTCGCTTTTCACCCCTTCAATTTCGTAAACAACACCCCTCAGTGAGTAGGACCTTCCTGGCAGAGGCTGTATACGCGTGGCCGTTTGAGAGCATTTCGAGAGGGAGGGCGGGCCCCTTCACTCTCGGCCATACCCCTGGACATTTGGGGGCTTAATGGTGATCAAATCCTAAAGACCTATTCGTAATGCAGCCATTACTCTGAGTAACTGAACACTACTTCCACTATATTGAGACTTCAGTTAGTTGAATGTAGTCATCAGAACACTCTACAGAGATTTCATGTTAGTTGGTGATTTCGAGTTATTCAGATTAGTGGCCACACTGCAACCTGGTTGTTAGAATTCGATCAAGATTAAACGACTTAGCAAACATAACATTGATGATTGTTTAGTGATCAGTCAATTTTAAGCCTCAGTCGTACTTAAGATTAATTGCCACCCAAACAGCTCAGTGACGATTTCTGAAACTGAAGCAGGTTGATTCCGGCTCGGATTCTATAGGTTGCTTTGGTCCCTTGAAGACAACAAATATGTCTTACTTATAAGTGTCAACTAGTACGAAATCTATGGTCAGAGTTTCCCATCGACTACCTCAAACTATCTTCCATACCACTATGGGTGACTGCTCTATGAATTGATCCGAGTTCACTTCTATTAATTCCAACTATAAATAAGCGAAGGTTTTATCATCAAGTGTATAAATCGCACAGGTGTCAATTGGTCATGTTGTAGATGTCAAAATATCAGATCTACTTATATAATATATTCTTGAAATCTTACACTTTCTTCTTCTTCTTTTTCAGTTAAGCTAGAAAATATACCTTAGAATGAAATTTGATTATTATGTTTATATGTTGTGTTATTTCTAAAGCAACTAGTTGCTTTCCTCTTTCATAAAACTTTGTATATCATTTATTCGCTGGTTGTTTGGACATTTGTTATTCATTCATATGTCTTCATCTTCCTCTTATAAAAATTCTACTAACTTGATACGGTTGTTATCTTATTCTAAGGTTATGATTATAAATTACAACTTGATATTTATGCTATAGTGCACACATATTAGTTCTTAAGATCCGCTTCAATTCACATGCTCATATGATAATTAATTTCTGTAAACATCCTAACATTAATTTGAAGCTTTCCATTGATGTTATAGACAACAGTTGATCAGTCTCTTTGCGTTTGTGCATCCTATGTGGATCCTAATATATGAATTAAGATATATAATCTATTCCATGGATTTCTAAGCATTAAATTTGTGCAAATAAACTAGTATGATGCATTATTTGAAAGGTGTAATTTTTTTTTCATTATGCATGTATATGAGTTGAAGTATTGTTGAAAATTAAGTTTTTCATCAAACAGTTGTTTCATTCTAGTTCATAATTTTGTAAATAATGTACATTTTCAACTGAAACTAGTGGTTATATTGCAACTTGACTGATAGAATTCAATCAACACTAGACAATCAATTATAAACAATGTGGATATTATTTTCAGATACAATATGGTTACAAACCAAACACACCTGTTAAAGAGAGATAGAGCTCACATTCTAACATTTATATTGTACATATCACGTTGTAGAAATATTATTATTCATGTGTATATTGTTTCTGAAATTTGAGACTCAATGTTTGATGTGTATTTTTGTCCTTCATATATATATGTATATAGGTTCTCAGGTCTGATCTTCGGTTCCCTGAACTATATGTGGAAATGTTTCAATTAGCTGATAGTGCATCAGCGCTGTTTTCCGCTTCTGCTCAAGCTGTAACACTAGCCTGTTCTGGTGTTCTACAATCCTCATTAGGATCTTTTCAAAATTCCAGTTAGCATCAACTTCTTTAAATAATAATCAATCTAATTTAAATATAAATAAATCATCTGATTCGACAGTAAATAATAGTGATTTTATTCTATCCGTTGATCGATGGGATGCAGGTCGACTTGCTTTAACTGTTCCAGCAGCAGCGGCAGCTGCAGCTGCAGCAGTTGTTGCATTAACTGAACAAACTTCTATATGTCAAAATAATAATAATAATCAGTTATTACTACAAACTAATTCTCAATTGTCTTCAACATGTGCATTTCCTCAATTCTCCAATTCAATTGTTGTCGGTTCATCATCATTATTGTCTACCAATGTTAGTCTTAGTTCGTGCCAGAAACGAGCTAAAAATGATGTAAATCAATCGGATAATACAACATCTACTATTCCTGTTTTTCCTACGAATACCAATAATACTATTGCTTTTATCACTTCACCTTCTTTTATGTTTCCTAATCAATTACATCATCCATCTTCTTGATATTTATCTGCCTCTCTCTATTCATCTCGTTGTACTCTCATACAAATATAAAATACCCAGTCACACTAAATTGATCCTGTGTGTCTTACATATTCTTAATGGTTATCTTTTAAATCTATGAAATACATCTTTACATTTTTTTCGAGATCTATTCGTCCATCGATTTTTTTCTTCTTTTGCCCTCCAAATAAAGATGATGATGATTATGAGGCAACACATTACACAATTACATATTGATTAATTTAGTTTCTATGAGACTATCTCCTGGATTTCTCTTGTTTGTGTTTATGTGGATTGTTTTTGTAGCTTATACTTTTATTATTATTTTTTTCCTTTTCTAAATCGAATTTCCTTTTTTTTTCTCAACCTTAACCATTATCATCATTGTGTGTGTGTGTGTTGTACTTCAATGATTGTGTATTATTGATTGTTTTTGTTGTACACTTATTTTTTGTTTGTTTGTAGTATGACACACATACATTGCAATGAACCTTTCTGTAAAACAATTAAAATGGAAGAAATCTAACTGATATATAAATATAGATATAGATATGCACACACACACACGCAAAATCTACGGTAATCAATAATTTTTTGTATTTCTTTATGGTGGTGTAACTCAGGTTAGAATTTTCGGTCTATTTATTTATTAAATTAATTTAATTTAATGAAAGGGATTCATATTTTATATCTCTGTTACAACGTCTCTAAAATTTACATTGTAAATGACATTTTGTGTCTTGTGTGTGTCTATGTATGTGTATGTGTGTATGTAGGTACAAGGAGAGAAAAAGTAACAACAACAACCACAATAATGAAGAAGAAGAAGAAGAATGAATTTTGCCATTAGTATAGTGTCATTGTATTTTGGTTGATTTATATATATATATTTATTTATTGGAATTGTTATTGATATTGATATTATTCGTCTTGACAATTACGGTTACAATGTGGTGTATACGTTTTATTCATTGTTTCCATTCTATCTTACTCAATTTTATTTAAAATGATTTCTGTTTATTATTCAGGGTTTTTCTTAAAGTTTCAAGCTTCTTTTTTTTTCTTTTCTCATTCTTTATCTTCGTCTTTATTCAATATTTCCTTTTTGTATACTGCATGCTATATGAATTTTGATTCGTTTGTGTATTATTTAATTTAAGGTATATACCCAGTGTGTGTGTGTGTGTGTGATGTTGTACACTTGTCAATCCATATTTTAATAAATATGTTCCCTTTTATTTTTCAATATCACCATCTCAGGGAATAATGAACTTTTACTATGACTAATAATATCAAATTTGTTATATAAGCAGTAATACTACTTACAAGTCAATGTATATATTATTATTATTATTATTATTATTATTATTATTATTATTATTACTGTTTGATCTATCTGTCTATCTCATGGAACATTTTGTACGTTTGCTTTCTACCTGCATTACCTCGATTCCATTTTCCCCCTCTTTATCCACATTTAATATTGTATACACAGGGATACGTACATGTATTTATCTATCTGCATATACTTGTTACAATCTTGTTCTATGTAGAACAATTTACCGTGCCACTTTTACATATATATAATACATGAATTTGCTTTTCCTAAAGTTTTACAATGACTTAATTCCGACCGATGATACCTGAAAACTCTGTTTTATGGAGTCTGTAAATGGTTATTATGATGTTGTTTTTTCATCAGGATATGCTTTTATAAATTTCCATATTGAAATTTTTTGTTCTTTACCACTTTTGAGTTGCTTTTTTACCGACTCCCCGTGTGTCTCTTCACTTCGAATATATTCCTTTATATGACTTTAATAAAACAGACTTTGATTCGTGTGAGTGCAATGCACAAACCCACATACCATTTTTTTTGGATTTTGTCTTCTATTTTTACATATGTATGTATACGCGCACCCTAAATACAGACACGTTTTGCTTTGCTTTTTTCTTACCCTACTCACTATCTATATCATGGTAACCAGTGTTGACGTCCTGATTCAAGTACCCAGGTTTGTCTGTGTTCAGATGATTTGTTTATCACATCTCGGTACACACATGTGCTTATAGACACCCATACATTCATTTTGTTGAATATCCAATTATGTTTTCTTACTGCTAGACCTTTTTCTTCACCTCATTAAAGGAGATCAGTCATCTCAGATGTGGAAACTAAAACAGTTATATTGTTAGTCTTGGTGTTTACTGTGTGTACACTCGTACCATATACTGTTCATTGTTATTTATAATACCAGGTAATTTCTACACGGTTTTTGTTATTAGTGTTATTTTGGCCTATTTATTTCTCTCGTGTTACACTATTCTTTCACTGGTTATTACTACAATGATCTTTTTTTTTTGGTTTAATTTTACTTTCGAATACAACACATGTACATATATGCATACACATGTTTCTTCATTCATTTACACGGCAGGGAATTGCAAATAATGTTGTATTCCTTTCTTATTTTTTATTAAAAAAAGACGCAGGCACTAATTGGCTACCTCATTTTGTCATTATCACAAATTATTAACATTGTCAATCAAACAACATTGGAATTAGAATTCAAAACAGGCCCACATGCACACATACACACACTAAAATGCACCTCACTGATTCAAAAGTCGTAATCGAACAAACAAGCAATGTATACAACATCTCTGGTGGCTTTTTCATCCTTTTTAATAGTATTTCAACAACTTTTCTTCGTCTTATTTATTGATTTCTAGTTCGCGACATCAATTCGATTGTCATTATTCTCTTTTTCTATGATGAATTTCATGAATATTATTTTCTGCTTCAGGGTGTATTCATTTCAGCTTAATCTTTATTAAAGCGCCAATCTGTCTCGCTACATACATAAAGATGTGCGCCATATGAATGAAACCAATGTAAGTGTTCATTGTAATTTTACAATAAACTAATAAATGCGCCATTTTTTTAAAAACAAGAATTCTTCCTTTCTAAGTATTAATTAAATATGCTGATATTTTATTCCAATGCATGTTTCTATCTGTGTGTACAATTGAATGATTTTTTTTGGGGGGGGAATCTAATAATCAATAGACAGATAAATTAAAAGAAGAAAAAAAAACTTGATTAGTTTCTCTTTTTTTCTTCTAATTTTGAATCCCTTCAATTTATCGTCTCCTATGAGAAGTATATTGTCAAGTAAAATCTTCCTTTATATATTTTCTTTAAAACAGCATGTAAACTATTTTTTTCCCTTCATTTTATTCACTATACTATTTATTATTGTTAATAATCGTATATTTTATAATTGTAATTATTATAAATAGTAGAATTGGTCAATTTATATAGCGCCTTTTCTTTTGTTTTTAATTGTTTTATTTATTTATTTATTACTTCCAAGTTGTCTATTTCAACTACATATTGATCGATTTATTTATTGAATGAATATGTTTTGTTCTTTCTTTTACCCTCTCTCTCTCTCTCCCTCCCTTTCTCATTCTCACTCTCTCTTATTCACGAATTTCTTGTCTCTCTTGTTGTACGTATATATGTGTGTGTGCGAGCGTGCGTGTGTGCATATTTTGTTCTGATATAATTATGTTACAATTACAAACAGGAAATAAATAGACATACTTGTATACATGCTACTAGACATACATACAGTTTAACCATTTTGTGCCTGATTATAACTTCTTTTTCTTTTTCTTCATAAATTCAAAAAAAAAAATGAAATTTTAATGATATTTGATTTTGTTCTCCTTTTTTTTATTATTTATTATTATTATTATCAATTCTACTTTGAATGCGCCAATCATAGTTATTAATCAGTCAGGTAGTTGTATACACATTTTTATCCATTTGTACTTCTATTCTGTGCTGTATTCTATTATTGTAATGATTGTTTATTGTATCAGAATATGAGTTCAATAAAACGGAACATGTATGTGTAAGTATATCTTTTCAAGGTTATATATTCCTTTTCTTCACTCTATTTTACACACATCTATACTCATAAATATATACTTCCATAACAATTACATTACCATTGCCATACCATTCTCTTGCTCAGGTAATTTATGATCACCGGTCATCTTGTTCATGTGTTTTCTTTTTTTTTTTTAACATACTTGTTTCTTGTTTCATGACTTCATTAGTATATGTGGGTGTACGGTGTTGTTTTATGTTCACTTACGTACACTTGCCCTATTTCACATGTTATTTAGTCTGAATCCATACATTGGAATTCCATTCCCCATGTTTCTTCTTTTCAACGAATACAGACTGTGTAGTGAATAAAATATTTACGTTGATATATATATATATATATATATATATATATATATATATATATATATATATATGAATATGAATTGAATTCCAAGTGACTTTTACCGTTGATCCTATTGAGCTGTATGCTTCATCTTTTGTTTTACACATATATGTAAAGAAGAATAAATAAACAGTTTTCTTTTTTTTTTACCTCGTTCTCATTGTCTCACATCTCTTTGCGCCGATTGTTACTGTGTTATTTCCTCTGTTTTTCTTATTATTCTCTACGAGAAAAAAAAAACGATCATTGATTTTTGTCTTTTGATGAATAATAAATAGTAATATATTTTAAAATTTAGTTGTCTACATTTACTACAAACATAAAATAATCAATAAAATATACTAGAATTATTTTAGTTTCATTCATATTTACTCTATACAATTGGTTGGGTTCTCTTCAAATGTTGAGTTGTGATGATTACGTCATTGTATTATGGCCGTTTCGTCTTGTCGTAGGACTTCTCAGGTGTATGTATTCACGATTCCGCATCGTGATATTCAAACCAAGGCAGGATCGTGGATGCGCACTTCTGAGGAGTCGCACGATAGGACGAGATGGCTGTCCAGTGCTTCCAGGTTTTCCTTGGTGGTTTCACTTCAATGGACTCGTGATCTCAAGTATTAAAATCACATTGATTTATTTACATGTTGTGTAATACCTATACGTAAAAAAAATGACCACGTAACACATTGACATTGTCATTTTTACTCCATCGTGACAAAAAACGTACCGTTCCTCAAAAGTTTTTGGATATTCCAACCAGTCCTACACACATACTTTTATTGCTCACTTTTGTAATGAAAGATATAAGTTATTCCTTTTTTGAATTTTATACAAAAACTCGAAGGTTCTGATTAGGTCTTTAATGTTATATAATTTCAATAGTATAGATACACCCCCCCCCGAAAAAAAATCCGAGAGACTGTAATTTATGGACGAGCCAATCAGAATATAAGATAACGAGTCACGTGTTTTGATGGGAAATTCACTTATCCATGTGGTTAAATAGAGCTTTGGCATTATAGCTAATATCAGTTCGTGATAAAAACCCTAAATCTAATTTTTGACCCTGACCATCAACTGTAAATGAGAATTTTTACTGCTTTATAACCCTCATTTAGTCCTAATCAGTAGATGTCTATTCTCAAGTTCACTTCAGCTTCGTTCAAAAGTCGTCCAAAATTATAATTTCACCAAAAACTCCTATAGTCAGTAAAATAAACTTTGAATGTAATAAAGAAGAATATTCATTGTTTCTTATTGAACTATTCATTATACATAGGTGAATAAAAGTTAGAAGTAAAGGAAAAATTACAAATGATCAGTTATAAATCAGGAAAAAAGCAAAAAACAAAAAGGGTACACGCTATTTCTACGGTGTCATTTCAAAGAAAAAATACTGAATATTAGATGGAATGTTAATAATAGAAATAATGGTATAGTTGCGATATACCGATGAATAGAAATTAGAACTTTCGACATTTCGTGACTTCTTCAGAGAGTAAATTAATAAATTAACACAAGTTTAAGTAGTATAGAAGTGAAATTGTTTGGACAAGTTACTTACGCCTTTTACTCCCAATGGAGCATAGGCCGCCGACCAGCATTCTCCAACCCACTCTGTCCTGGGCCTTCTTTTCTAGTTCCATCCAATTCTTGTTCATTTTTCTCGTGTCTATCTCCATTTCCCGGCGTAATGTGTTCTTTGATCTTCCTCTTTTCCTTTGGCCTTGAGGATTTCATGTGAGGGCTTGTCTTGTGACGCAGTTGGGTGCTTTCCTCAATGTGTGTCCTATCCACTTCCAGCGCTTCTTCCTCGGCTGGGATCTGGTTTGTTCTCTCCCACAGTACGTTGTTGCTAATAGTGTCCGGCCAACGGATCT